GTCTAGGTCAATTCATAAATGGTAAGATAAACTCAGCTGCCATTCGCGACGCACGACGCTCATATTTGTATCATTCAAAGCCAAGTTCAATGTGATTGTCGCAATTGGCACATTGTAACATAACTAGTTATTGTTTGTATGTTTTTTTTACAAGACGTGTGATTGTGTAATATTGATTGTAACAATTTAGTCTACGTAGTTTTAATCTTTTTTTAAATATGGCTGACTGTTGGTGGTTACTCGATTTTGAATCTGATTCACAATAGGATCTCACTTCTTACTAAAATTATGCGCATGTTTGGATGGATATAAAGATGAATGTTCACTGAACATAGTCTGGCAGAACACATAGACTACAAATTATGTTTTTTTTTTATTTCGCGCGGACGGAGTCGTGGACATCAGCTAGTGTATAATAACATAAAAATCAGGTAAGCTTGTCACATTTAATAACAGTCAAAGGTGGTAACGACCACCGTGAAACGAAGATCCGTATGATGTCTACAATAACAAAAGTTATTGGCAAACAACCAATAGAATATGTCATAGCATATAGCTTCTGTACAAGGTACATTCATAATTTATATTCTTTGACGTTTAGGTACATCAATCCATTTAATCGCTGTACAAATAGGTCAAGAGATAAACCAACCCAATGAGTGGCGGCAAAGTCAGTTAGAAAATTTAAAATGGTACGACGAAGGCCACAAGAAATAACTGATCCGGAGTCGTACTGTTTCGCTTTTTATTCAGCTTATATAATTTATTAAAGTGACTCTCTATTAAACTCGTGTAATCAAGAATCTTGGAATATACGACGATTCCACGTTTATGACAAAATATAAGACTGTTCACGCTTATGTATAGAAATAGCAGTATATTCCCTTACAAAAATAACAAAGTTAGGTTACTCTGATAAAATGAAACAAATTGAAATACAAACTATTTAAGAAAGCATTGATGCAAGTTTGTTTGCGTAGAATAAACATCTTTGTATGCCATATGACGTCACCTATGCAATTGCTCATTGCCGTCGCTTATTGTTCCAGACTGGAGTTGGCGACAGACGACGGCGACCTATAAGAATGAACAAACGGATGTGCACCATTGAACCCGCGGCCGTATTGGCATGTTTATGATCAGAACCCACTGTTTTGCATCGTGCAATGCAACGAGTCTGTCGATATCTACTCTATCTTACCACGCATTACTACAGAAGCGACAATATTGTAGTTTTACGAAGCTAAAGTAAGTTACTACAAAATACTATTATCGAAACTTGCAACACGGTTGAAAAATTATGTTAGTCCAATGACAAGAAAAAGGTTAATGGTTCAAAGAAACACCGGAAATATTAAAATGTCGCAAAACAAGTTTTAAAATAGCTATTTGCTATAGATAAAAAATGAAGTAAAACTGGATACTTAAGTACTGACTGCATGATTTATCAATTGTAAGTAGTTTTTACTTTCAGAGAAATCAGCAGTTCAATAAACTTTTCGGTCTTTGATTTTTTAGAAATCTAATTAAGACAACTGAAATCCGTTATAGTTATATTTGTGACAATAAAATTACAAATAAGTGTTGTGATAATAAAATAACGGAGACCAAATAAATAATATAAAAATAAGTAACAGTGAAACAGAAAAACCAACTTCATTTTGCATGTTAAGTGTTAACACATGGTGTTATCGGGCAGTTATGACTAATGTACAGCGCTGACCATGCGCCAGGGCCGACGCAACAAAGATGACGCATGCATAGAAAACCAATAAAACATATCAAAACAACAACGAGTAATAAAGTAATAGACGCATCAGCGACAATAGCATCGCCTACTTATTAACTTAATAATTAATCAGGATCAAAAAGTCAAAGGCAGAAGAAAAGGAACTATTGAAGTAGCAACAGGACAACCCCAACAAATCATGATAACTATGACACAGAAGTTTTAGAGTAAAGACGCAGTAAAGAAACGAAGCAAGATGTTTTGCGTACAAATGGACTCAAGTTCCGAACGAATAATGGCTGGATATAGGACTATACATTCCCTTGAAACTCTGCGAAGGAAAAAACCTAATAACGATGAACAAAAGACGAAGTAACAATTATATTTCGTACATACTAATATCTGAAATTAATTTGCTTTTACTATTTTCAATCGAATGTGGATTTGTAATTGATATGTCAATATAATTTTTAAAGGAATATCGCAAGAAGAAACTTGAGCATTCAAAATTACTACATTATGGTTAATAACGTCCCGGTCTTTAGCAATGATTAAGCAGAAAACACGTTTTATACATAAACAAACGATTGTCCATCGCATTTGATTTCGTGATAACTATGACTCACGGTCAATAAAGACTGGATAGAAAAAAATCTGTTTTATTTACTTTACTAAAGGTGTCAAAACCACAGATGGGGCGAGCAGTATACAGTGTGTATCTACAATCCACACAATGTCTCCGATACTCTCCAAAAAACAATATGTAGTACTTATTGTTTTTTCCTCGTAGTTAAATTAAATCATTACCGTAATGAGACAAACAATTTTGATAACAAACATTCGATGCGATATTTACCTTTGTATTACATTGTTTATTTTACGAATTTTAATCATATTTTCTTTAATTTATTATGTTTTAGTAAAAACAATAGCCTAAATAGTTGTATAGTTCAAATCATCCTCAAAATTCTCCACACTAAATATCGGTGCAGTCGCCGCGCCTTATCTATTGTTTATGCAACGTAAATATACAGAAATTTGTATTCAGTGGATGTCACAATTAATTATGGTCGTTATCAGTTGTAATTACAAGTGCACAACGTATTCCACTAGCAGTTGAAGCAGGAAAATATGCAGGTAATATCGCATCGTAAACAATCGTCGGATCGTTTGTTGTTGCATCGAAGAGCGACGTATCTCGGTATTTATTTGCCTTTCAATATAACACCAAAGGCGTGAAACAAGCGTGCCTGATGTTTCCACAGGTTTAACTTCAAGTTTTGGTCTTATTACGAGTATATTGAATTTAACTACAACGCGCAAAGGACGTTTACTCAATTTTATGACTTGTTCAAAATGTCCATGTATTGTTGCAGCTTTTTAATTATGCTTTTTTTAACATCCGTCATAAAGAGCAGTACGTTTTACCCAATATACCCTGATTGACCTAAAATGGAGAGAATGTTTTGTATCGTAAGAACTTATTTGTTCAATAATACTTCTCAAATAATTTAATTACATAACATTACTTAATATATATACTAATCAAATTACATTATGTAAACAACTCTGAGTTGAAACTACAAGTATCAGTTAAAATAGGTATTGATGTATTAAATGCCTTCGAGAACTTGCTTTGTTATACTCTGTTACTACGTCGCAGGGAAGAGCAATTGTTCAAACTTATTAACATACATGCACGCTGATAAATACAAACAACACGAAGAACTTTATCTCTACATTATTTTAAAGTGAAGGATTCTTTGAAAAATTTGCATATACTTTTTCCTTACTCTTTGTTCTCATAATTAATTACGGACAAGGCTTCAGACGGAAGGTTTCGCGAGTGAGACATCGACTAACTGCGTGATATTTGCATGAAACCAACATTTACATAAGCATCTTGAAATGGAAATGATATGGATTTATAAATATTGCCTCGTAGAGGTATATTGTGGTAATATGCAGTGAGATCAAAGGGCTTGCGAGTATGAACGTTTTAAAATTCCCTTTAGTTTGGGCCGTTGCACTCCGCCTGGGACTCGTCTAACCGGCCCACTATCAGTCCGCGCTCCGATTCATCGCGCGCCAGCTCGTGGCCAATGCTGCTGCTGCCCTATCACCAATTGTAACTACGCTCAGGGTTGCCACAGCTAAGACCTGTCTATTTCATGCAAATATTATTTTCATTTTTAATATTTGATCACAACCATATATTTAACAGTCTTTTGTTGCGATTGAATGATTTTCAACCGATGCCAAAAGCTTGTTTAAAATCGACAAAAATTTAAATAATTTTCGATTCTCGACTTAAAGTATCAATCAATTTAATGTATCTTCAAGTTGACACAGATTCAGAAGATTAATGTTGTTAACTTTAGTGGATCAAGTAGGTGTATGACAAGTACATATATTCAAAATATTAATGTAAGTCCATTAGGGAAAATCGATTTGGTAATTAATACAATTGACAATAGGTCAACAGTTATTGCTTTTAACATTTCTAGAATCTTCGAATGTATAAAAACATCAGAAATGCGATACCCAAAAACGATTGTCGCAAGCCCGGGAAAAATATTTTTGGGTTGAATCTTCAAACAACATTAATGTCAATTAGCTATACGATTGTTGTTGCCAAGTGAAATATTTTTGAAAAATATCTGAAAATCTTGTACTGACTCACTGTAGCTGACACCCGGGCCAATTGTATACCTACCTACTGCTTATTATGCAACTGCCCTGGGACCAGATTCGGCTTAATTTGCATGAATTCCTTAGCCAAATTGTTTTGTTAATGTTGCTTACTAAAATATTAAATAACGACACACTTAAACTTAGTTTATCGAATGCCTACAATATTAATATTTTGGACAATGTTTACAAGACAACAAATTTTCTAGTTATTTAATGTGTACAAAAGTGACGCTAATTGTCATTAAGTACAGAAAATCCATGGAACTCCATCATGAACTGAAAATATATTCGAGTGTATTAAAATAAACAACATATTTAATCGTTAGAGGTTTTGTGTTTAACAACATAAAAATCAAGCCTTTAATAAAATGAAAAAAATAAGTAAAGCCTAAATAAAATAAAATCATTCACTATTCTGTATCTCGTATTTCTGAAAGCTTCGCAATATGTAAACTCATTCCGAATTTAGCACCCGAGGTATCGATTCCGTAAAACAGCTGTTTTATTTTAAAATAGCGATGCGGTAATATTATACCGTCGAATTTGCGAAAAAATCTTAATTCATAAAAATACTTACGTCGGTTGCCGGGGTTGGATTATGTGTCTTCACTCGGCACTGTCAATCACAGGTTCAAAACACGCTGCGCGAGCGTCCAAATAGGCGATCGGGCTCGCGGGATATATTTAGAGCGGTAATACGACACCGTGCGCGGGCGTCGGTCGTTCGTACGTGTTGCTAAAGTGAGGCGCGACGCGCGAGTGAGGCCCAACCGATGGCGGGGCTCCACGACCTCCCCCGCCCCGTCCCACACCCCCGCGGGTCCGACGCCGCGCCCCTCCCGCCCCGTTCGGGCGCAGGAGGGCGCGCCGGCGCAGCCTCCGAGGACGATACCCTCCGACATCCCTTTGTGCTGCGATGCGGCTCACGAATTAACTAAACCTTGGTCATGATCGAGGCCGGCGCGAGCGCGAATTTGACCCCACATCATACGCGATGCATGCATTCTGTATTATAAATATTTGCGCCTCTTCAAATACTACGACTGTAAACCTAAATTGCATTATAAAGACAAATACTAGAGAATGAAACCGGAGAAAAGAGAATGCAGTACTAATCAAAAATTAATTTTCTATAACAAATCACTTTTAAGTTTGTGTTGTAATTACTTTTAGTTTTAAAATTCATAAAATTGATCTTTTCCCGTAACAAAACGGTGACAAAAGACATTCCAGATACACCCCAACATCCTGTGATTAAATCGAAACATGGTATAGTTTTCATATGTTAATGTAGGTATTGTTATATTCTTTTATTTTTTATCGTTTAATCATTAGTGTTACCAAAAAATAATCTTAAAATTAAACGCTCTAAGATCTGTGAAACAGAAACTTTTATTTAACAAATGAAAGCTCAATAAATAAATTAATGTCATTTAAAAAGAAACTAGCGGCAGATCTAAAAATACTTAAGCCTTTTACTCAAAATAGTAAGTATGTATATAAGTAGAAGGTATATATTTGAATGTAAAATTTACTTGTTTTCTTACAGAAGTACATAATATTTCTTAAACAATCTTTGCAAAGACACGAGGAGAATTAAAGGCGGACATTTTACAATACACCACAAAACCCTAAATGAGTAAACTATAGAGTACAATAAATATCAATATTACACAAAATATATCTCTTGTTACAATAAAATGAGAATAAAACAAAATAATGGAATATAAAAGATACTATATTCATTCGCTCTCAAACCTTACAACAAACTCCACGTACGGTACAATATAAACTTTATAAAAATAACTTAATATCCCATCACTCCTCTTCAACCTCGTCGTCTGTGGTGAACTCACTCTCATTGCCGCCCTGCAACAACAACATAACAGTTACCTTCACATATCACCACCTAAAGACAAAATCGATGGAATACATAAATAAACCTATCTGACCAGACCATTTTATTATTATCAATTTAAACGTTGAATTTTTTTCTATGGACTTATTTTGAAAAAATTATTAATTACATTGACACAATTGATATGTGAATTCAACTATACAGACTAGCTGTCGGTCATGCTTTTGCACTTTTATTTGTATTAATATTTCTTTTTAATAAGTTATCGTCAAAATTACAATCGCAAATAAATATGCAAAATATATTACAAAAATCAGAAACATCAAAAAACTTTTATTTCTGCATAATAAAAAAACTATGATAAAATTTCGAGCAGTCGGATGATCACTAACATCATGTAAATACGATAAACGGATTTCATCACGTATCCGTTCTCAATTCCATAAATATACGATCGCACCAACATGTAATTAGGTTATTATTTGATAGTGGAGCGATTGCAAATCAAATATATCAATTGCAGTGTACATTCTAACAGGAATACCTTAACTAATCCAAACAAACCAAGACTTTTTATAAAGATAACCTGGTATTTGTTTGTGCTACAAATATAGAGGTTCGTTTAATGTATCCATGATAGTTAAAGAGAGTGTAAATTTAAACTTAATTTAAGGATGATTTAAAATAGCTTTTTTAGTTTTCTTTTCAATATAAACCTAACGTGTGTGGCCTGCATTACATAATGTATTAAAATTCGTATGCAATGCAAATCTGGATCTATACAATGTAGGTGGATACAATATCATATTATGATTTAATGACAAAGAAGCCGAGAATTCATCGAATAGCAAACACCCAGTAATCTGCATTATTTACTAAACAACTACTTATCACGTTTCTATGTTTATACCTAATGCAGTATTAATTGTTTAAATTATCCAACACTTCGTCATCATCAGCTCACTATATGTTCCCCACCAAGGCCTCGGAGCCTACCCTAAGGTAAGGGTGATTAGGCCATAGTCAACCACGCTGGCCCAGTGCGGGTTGGTTGACTTGACACATATCTTTGAATTTCTTCTCAGATATGTGCAGGTTGCATCACGATGTTTTCCTTCAGCGTAAAAACGTCGGACAAATGTACATATGTAAATCGGAAATCGAAAAACACATTGGTACATGACGGGATTCGAACCCAGGACCTGCAGATTGCAAGTCAAGTGCTTGACCACTGAGCCACCGACGCTCCTCCGTATCCAACACTTGTCGAAGTTTAAATCTAAATTACATTTTAGTTTTAATAGATAAGCAGTCAGTTTAGAAAAACACTATATCCTATTTTCTTTTACTACTGTTCACATTTTACTGTTTTTTACAGACATAGAAACATGTTTTCGCTTAGTATTGGCAGTGGAAACTATAGTTACAATGATATATCGTTGCAATACATACCTGATCGTTGTTATCAGTGTCGGAGTCGCTAAGCTCCCATTGCGGGTGGTCTGCGGGCACCGCGGCCGCCTCCTTCACGTCCAGCTTCATGTCCTGCTGCTGGTCCATGCCGATGTACGAGTCTGTATATACACAATAACTTAAATACATCGTACATTGCCTGGTATATGTTCTGATAGACTATGGTATAGTAGTTTTCAGATATCTTGGTGGCTCTTAACTTTGCGCGAGTCGCTAGGCAGAACATAATTTTAGGTTATTCAAACTTTCTGGCGTCGTCTCAAACTGTTTTAGCCGTTTTTATATATGTTTATAATTTTAGGTGTAGCGCGACGTAGCGGGATGCGGAGGGAGGGCACTGCGCCTCGACGACCTTGGATCACTGACATATTTGAAAACCACCATATATATTTTAATTATTCAAATGCCTATTGCGTTCCTTGCGTTTTAGATTGCGCAGATGTGCTTAAATTCATAAGTGTGCGTCGTATCATATCATCCTAAACTATATAATAGAAAACAAAATAGTATGGTGTATATCTGTTGTTCTTGTACTTTATGCATATTTTGTCACAAAACCTTCTTTTCTTACTGTACAAATGTAAAGACATTCATTCAGACATCATAACTATTTGAAATATGTATTTAATTTGGAGTATGCGCCGAGAAATGTAACCACCATACATCAGTGTAATGCGGCGTGAAGTTATGTCCACCGCACAGGCGAGTAATTACCAGTTTACCCCGCCCTTCCCCAGACACACGACCGCTGTGATTTTATATGCGCACTTGCATCTTTAAAATGTATTTCTGTAGTAATAAACACACGGCCCACTTCTACGAAACGGTGATACAAACACGGCTTATTTTTTCGCGCTTAGCACAACTATTATAAGAATGAAACGTTTGCAAGCTAATATTGGATGACTCGACATTTATTGTACGACATATTTTCAGCAGGTATAAAAATAAAAATATATATCTACGATTTGTATCTTTTGACACATTATTATTCACCGTTTTCCCTAATGGAACGATCTTGAATACTAGGATGTGAGTCATACGTAATGTTATTATCAAATTAAAATATTTTTATACCGCAATCAGACTATACCCATTCCACTACTGAAATTAGACTTTTCCCAATTCTTTTCTTCATCTTCAACTTTAAATAAAGAAATCCTTTTCCATATTCAGCTAAATTATTGACCAACTTAATAAATTTTATCTTCCCTGGATTTGATGTTTATGAGTGTATTTTCATTATTTTTTTCTTACATATAAATTCAAAGCAAGGATCAAGATATTGTGAAACTTTCCAGGTCGATACACGTTACGTCAACGATTACTCGTCAAGTTACGCAAGGGTTACACATTATTCCGAATTAGTCATATAGGGAAATAATCGAATACTTTCTCTTTACGACAAAGCCTGAATCAAGTGGCTATGATAAAAATATCATAATATATTTATTATTATATTTATTATATATAATATAAGTTAAATAAGTTACGCTAACTATATATTCACACAGAGACAAAGCTCGCCTTATTAGTTGTTTTATTGAAAAGTGTCTGAAGAAGCTGTAATACACAAAATATAAAAAAAATCATATTTTTTTGTGCTTCATGGCAGCAAACTTGTATCTCTAAGTGTAAATCATGGTAGCGAAAAAAATGATAATGTAAATATTGATATCAAACGAGGTTATCTAGACCATGTTAAAAAAATCAATAATGCGTATCAATGCCGCTTTGCCTGCCATCTGTACCTTAACTAACTTCCCACTTAGCGTCGAATATCATACAAAAAATTGCAACCACAAATTATATTATTTAACAGAATTGTATACTGCTGTAATGAGTTTTCAATCTAATTACATGAACGTTAGCAATTTCATGTTATTTCAATGACATCCTCGACTGTACATATGTGTGACTCGGAGGAGGGAGACGCATAAGAAGACGAAATATTCTCTTTCAGTGCGTCCCATTCTCCGTCGATTAAAGGCAAAAGGTGCCTACAGGTAGCGGTTGCTACGCTATTTCGGCAGATCCAGGGTAATAATGTAAAAAGGGGGAGGGCAGGGTGAGGCGGGTGAGGCAGGGTGCGGATGTACTGACCGGAGCGGAGGCAGCAGGCGAGCGTGTAGAGGCCGGGCCAGCGCGGCGCGGTGAAGCGCAGCTGCAGCTCGTGCGCGGCGGCGAGCGCGGTGACGTGCGCGGGCGCAGTCAGCAGCGTGCGCGACTTGCGGTCGCAGATGTAGCACCACCAGAACTCTTGCTTCTCCTGCACGTTTATCTTTCAATTACACACTGTCGCAACGGCTGCGACACTCTTGTAATAGTGTTATTACCTTACTTGTTTACTGTATATCTTACTAACATTATAAATGCGAATATTTAGATAGATGGATGGATATGTGAATGGATAGATGTTTGTTTGATCTCCGGAACGGCTCAATTGATTTTATATAATTTGGCACACATTATGTCATTTTTTTTTTAATTCTGCGCAGATGGAATCGCAGGCGACAGCTGGTTTCTTATGTTAAATCTGGTCTAAGGAGTTCCTTTAGTTTAGAGTTTATTACCTGTGGGAAGTACGGGCAGTGTACGGGATGCGAGCTCTTGGAGCGCCCCTCGAGCCGCTCCCGCTTCAGTATCCTCTTCTGGAAGCGCTCCCACTGGTCGTCATCCTCCGCAGCTGACGACTTGTCGCGCGACTCGTCCTCCGAGCACGAGCTGTGCGAACCTGACTCATCCGAACTGCCCATGTCCGATTCCTCGCCTGACAACATAAAAATATCTTGAACAACAAATTTATGAGTTATCGTAAAGATCTATACATATCAGAAATTATAGCAAATAATTAAAAATTCAAACCTAACTATAAAAATGATGGGACAATCTTGTTTTTTTTGTATTGTGGGGAAATTTTTATAAGATATCCTGCCTTATGGAGGAAAAAGACTTTACCCACTAAAATACATGGTGGCCATGCCCTGGTGCAACTGGTGAATTCGGGATCACCAAAGAAACGCACTGGGACTTACATAGATGGGCATAGTTACATCTTAGAGTTATAATCAAATAGCTTCTTACCTTCGTCATCTTTCTTCTTTGGTTCTTTAGTTTTCTTGGTGTCATTGGCTGCAGGTGTGGTGGCAGCTGCGGCGGCTGTCGCAGCACCGGCGGCCGCGGTCTTGGCCGCTTGCTGCTTCGCCGCCGCGGGTTTCTTAGCTTTCTTCGCCGGTGCTTTCTTACTTTGCTTCATCCAAACCGGTCTTTTGAATGTATCCTTTTTATCATTCTTCTCGTTTTTATCATTATCTACTTTGTCACCATTCTCACCGCCACCTTCTTCGTCTTCTCTAAAAATAAAATACATACATTAGCAAATTTAAAAAGTGTTTTTGAATATAATATCTTTATTTTTATATTGTAAAGCAAACGAGCAAGCAGACACCTGAATTCGGCGAAATGGCGAAGATACGAAGGAAGGATGCTTTGCCTACCCTTAGTCGACGGAGGTAGAGACGCACAGAAAGAGATTATTTTCTTCCAATGGGTCCCCACCTCCATCCAATAACTTCCCCTTTCCCATTATAAGAAAAGGTTGGGAAGAAAAAGAGGGCTAAAATTAGGTCTCCAGGAAAAAAAAATTTATATACAAATCCTTAACTGTCTCATGCAGACATTTAATGGTTACTTACTTTATTGCTTCCTTTTCTTTGATGGTGGTATCTCCGAAAAGTTCCTTCATGTTGGTCCTTCTGAGAGATACTGTTACTGTTACAATCGCGCCCGCTGTCACAACCGTCGAATTTTCATCGTCAATAACTAAAAATAAAAGAAAATATTCAAAACACTATATTTAATTTCTTAAATCTTCGGCCGATATATTAAATAATATTCTAGACATACGAAGAAACTACTTCTTAAATGCAGTTGGACCTGAATAAGCAAGTCTAAAGGACTGAGACATTTTTCTCGCTTGGAGAGGTCTCTCTAATCCGAGTTGCTTGCTTATGGATATTGTCTGTCGAGACTGGACAATGACTCTCACTTAGCAAGGTTCGACTATACATGCTAAGCAATATTTAGTATGAGCAAGTAAAATATAAAAAATATAATGCATCATCGACATACCTTCTGTATTAACTTGGAAATGTATATAAGGCATATTGCCTAACACTTTCATAACATCTTCATATTGTTTATCATTTAGGAACCTAAGTACTTGTCTCCTGTCTTCTCCGGACAATTGAGCTAATTGGAGTAATGATTTTATATGTTTTTTGCGATTTGTAAAGTATTTGAGATGGTCTTCTGTAATGTAAGGAAGTTGGAGTAATGGAGACTTGTATTCCCAAAGCCCTTGAACTATCATTGGGGAGAGCTTCATGCAGTTTTCTATTGTCTCAATTGTGGGTAAACGGGGAACTGAAACAAAAGTATAAAATAATTAACAATTATTGGTGGTAAATTTGTTACAATTTGATTTTGTTTTTATTCTACATTTTAATATTAAGAAAAAGGAATATTTGTAAGAACATTTTAGAAAATGCATTGCGGAAATCAGATTCACTTATGTTTTTCTTGTTTTAATAATTGCATACATTTTACCATGTCGAATTTGAAATGGATAAAAATGTTTGAAATTCCAAAGGTAAAATTGCCTGTAATGTTGATAATATTATAAATTACTCATTTAAGTTTAATTTTTTTTTAATTTACAACAGCCTCTTATTATTTATATTATATTATTGACCTATTGGTTGTTGTAGTGTATGCATAAACGTAGTGTTGTTTGTCTCGAGCGTACACGCCATAAGTACATGCCGGAGAGAGGGTACGTCAGTCGATGTCAGACCTTTGAGCCGGCAACACGTGTCGGTACGTGAACGAGCCAAATATAGCACAACGAATGCTACAGTTGTGATATGTCGAATTTATATTACACATTGTATTATTAAATTTACAAGATAAATACAAATAAAACTCACTTCTTCTAGCATAAGCAAGTGCAATAAGCTGGTTAACACAGTTGACCATTTCCACAATAAGGTCCGGGCAACGGGATACCACATAACGTCTGTCACATTCCAATGTTTCCTCAGGTAGTTGCATACGGGATAAATGTGCATGTAAAAGTGCTCGCGCCTTAATACTGTACGGCCGACATAATGGCTGCTCTTTATTCTTTTCACCAAGGTTTGGTAATTCACGGAGAAGCTAAAAGACAAATATTTAAATTACATTATATATTTTGAGAGAAAAGTAATTTGGTGTAAAAATTGAAATGAACTTAAATTATATAATATGGAGCTAATGTTATATAGGTATGTGAAAAAAATTATGTTCTTAGCTTTGGCAATTAATTAGATCCAGTGTATCCATAGTTTACAATATACATGCCTTATTTAAAACACTGGAAAAATATATCTAAGAACAATATAATCATTAAATAGTGACCTAAATTCATCTGTGTCAACATCAAAGGTTCTCATCAATTATTGCCTATTGTTTTACATACCTACAAATTTAACATAAACATGTTCTTTTAAATAAAATATTCTTATTATGTCAAAATTAGATAATATTTGAAATATGTTCATTATTGAAAAACATTTTTATTTTAATAAATTTATAGTCTTCTGAAATTATTTATCTTTATGAACAAATTATTAAGAAATCGTATTATGTAATTCAATCAAAATAAACCCTTATTACTATGAACTATAAAATCAATATGTCTTACCGCGGGCACTTGTTCATTATCAGTTATCCTTTCAATAATTTCAGAATTATGTCTCCGATCAAATTCACAAGAAGCTGCCAAAATCATCAATGCCCTTTTCAAAGGCATTGAGGGAGTCTTATGACAAAAATAGAAGTACATCTGAGTTGTATCCAATAGAACTTGTTCTCCTGAATATTTAATTGAACGATACCACCAGGTACCTACCTAAAAAAATAAGAAAACATTATATCTGCAAAGGAATTCTTGTGTAGAAATTAACATTTTATACTGATATAAACAAAATAAAATATACAGCCTGCAAAACCACTGATAATTTTTTATCTTCAATCAAAACCAGAATGAGTTGATATTCCTATAATAAAGATGGACAAAGCTTAAAGATTTTTGATTGTTTCTATTATTTAGGTAATTTTCCAAAACTCATAGCACAACAGAATATGAAAAATAGTATTAGATTTATATGAAATTCAAGCCTTTTTCATGTTTGTATTATGCAAACTAAACTCGAAATTGACTAAGAAAATGTTACAATATTTTTTTTAACATTGCAAATAAGTAAAAAAATAATGAATACAATTATTTATCAATTATATATTAACTTACAGCTATAGGTAGGGCAACCATGAAAACAAGCCCATACAATCCAAGCACCCAGACACTGTTTTCCTTTTCTACAATCCAACTGGGCAATGCAATACCAAAACTCATTGCACCTGGTCCATCTGGGTTACCATATTTTTCCCAGTTTCTTCTTGCCTCTTCATCTGTAAGTGCCTAAAAATTAAAAAAGAGCAATAAAATTTATAGTTGTACAACATATAACACAAAGAAGATTTACAACTTCCAATAGGTGCATGTTCTGTCTTAAAATTCTTTATTTTTGAATTCTTTACTTTCTGAACAAACAAAACAGTAAGTTATAACTTTTAAGATTAGATAATTTGTTCGACTTACTTGATAAGCTTTAGTGAGTCTCATGAAAGCTTTTTCATCACCAGTCTCCTTGTCAGGATGAAGTATTAATGATTGTTTTCGATAAGACCTTTTTATCTCTGCCTGTGTTGCTCCAGGTGGCAACCCAAGTATATCATAAGGATCGAAATTGGACATTTCATAGTCAAATTGAGACACTTTATATGCAAGAAATCCAAGAAGAACCCATCCTGATATTATGGCTAATTTAATAAAAAAGTTTTTTAAGGTTTTGTATGGCTGTGATTGCTCAATAACATGCTGTTTCTTTATACAACTTGGACATTGGCAACGTTCTGCTTGTATTGCGGGGTCTGAAATTGAATGAAAAGGTTGTTTTTACTATTTGTTTACTTAGTTCAATCACGCTTAATTGCAAACCTGTAAAGGGTTAAATTTAAGAGTTTTTCTAATGTAATAATTAATGTATCGGTAACAATTAATGTAAACATGAATCCATTTCTTAGTAATGTACCGTATCGTCACGTTGACAGCACCGTAATATAGCGACATAACTGTACACCTTAAAGTATCTTTGCCCAAGTAGTTAATTTTTTCGTACATATTGTGTAAATTTACAAACATTTTGATAAAAAGTTTTATTGATTCTGAGATGTTTCATTTAATTACATTGTAAACTTACAAACCTTCTTTTCGTTTCCTTGGCCAGTAATAAAATGTAGCTGGAACAAGTATTAAAGCGAGAAACGAAAGCACGAAATAGAAGAATGTAGATCCACTCTCGTCATATTCAAACTTTTGACCACCCATTTTATAAATTATTTTAATACATAGTGCGATAAATAAAAATCATTACCGCGCTGCACGATAAACCTGACGTGTCATTCGCAAGTTGCAATCGTAAAGATTGCCAGCGTGTTAATTCCAGCTATTGTACAAAATGGTACAAACTACATTTAATAAGAAAGCATTGAATTAAAACAATTAAAATGGTATAAAAATCACACTATTACAATTAAACAAAAAATTGTAATGACTCAATGTATGATGATAGAATTTTTTGATTAATTAAACTTGAACTTTGAAGAAATTTACCGGTAGGTTTCGTATTTTTTAAGTAAAATTCCCTAATCACTTCAGTAAAAAAAATGAACAAGTTCTGGCAAGAATCATGTTTAATTTGTCACTGTCAATGTCAAAATTCGACTAAAATAAAATTTCGTTACCTATTTTAGCAGTGATATGTAATAACGAAAACAGATTTTGTTAATACAGAAATCAGCTTTATTGCACACGGTACAAAAAACAATATCCCATATACTTGATGTTAAATTTGATGCGCTATTAACCGTACTTACATTTTTTTTGTTTTTTTTGACAAGAAATATCAAAAATTTGCCAATTTTGTTCATTCTAAATTTTATGTTTTATTTCTTTATGCTTAAAGAAGGTAATAAAGATACAAATTTGATTTAGTTACTTTTATAGGACTTGCTTTCAACAATCGAACATTTTTATTTACAAGGGTTTATCGTGAATTGACAAAAAATTGACCATGAGATATAATTTATGGGAATTGTTTTGTAATTAGTTAGTTTTAATTTTTTTTAGATGGCTACCAAAACAATTGCTAGTGCAACAGTAAGGGCTGTTAAGAAAAGGGTGCTCCCTTCGCGAGCCGCTTTGGTTTTGACTCCAACAGCCGTTCAAAAAGTGAAAGAGATCATGTCTAAGGAAGAAGCTAAAGGTTTTATAGGATTGAAAGTTGGGGTCAGACAAAGAGGTTGTAACGGATTGTCCTACACATTAGATTATGCAACAACTAAAGACAAATTGGATGAAGAAGTAAAACAGGATGGTGTGACAATTATAATAGACAAAAAAGCACAGTTAACCTTATTAGGTATGTATTTTCTATAAAATTAAGATGTTGCTAGCAATTTAATTCAAAATTCAGAATGTGCTTCTTATTTTGCACTTAATACTTATGTAACCCAATTTTGCTAGTCTAATTATATAAATTTAATTTATCCAATACAAAAGCTTCTTACAGATAAAGTAGATGTGACAGCTGTTATCTTTGATTAAACATCATACTAAACTTGCTACATTAATATTATAATGGCCTAAGTTTGGGTGGATATGCATTAATTTCCATTTGTTATTTCATATCTCCAAAACAACTTAATGGATCTCAATATTATTTGGCACAGGTGTAGGAAATAGTATGGAATATATAAGCGAGTTACTAATTTTTTTGTCTGTGCATGGATGAAAAGAAAGTATCTCATAATAAGAAGCAAAATTTGATTCACATCATCACTTCATGATATAAGCAATATCTTTTAAATATATGTTAAAGAGAAATTAAACTTATTTTCAGGTACTGAAATGGATTTTGTAGAAGATAAGCTCTCAGCTGAATTTGTTTTTAACAATCCAAACATAAAAGGCACATGTGGCTGTGGGGAATCATTTAGTATATAGAATGAACTATAAATTGTTTTGCCTAGTCTCTCATTATCACCAAGCTTAGATCTTTTGATTGTAGAATGAAAAAAAAATTAATAAACTATGAATGTGAAGGCACTCTTTATTTTCTAAAAGTTTAAACAAGTTAGGCAAAGATAGTATTAAGTTTTTCTTGTGATGAATAGATTGTATTTTATTGTACAGTAGATGTTATATTATGTTGACTTGTAATATATTTTTTAATTTTACGTGTTTAATTTGTTTTTTTTTTCCATATTATATTTCAATATTATATAACTTTTTAAATCCAAAAGTAGGAAAATAAATTTTAGAAACTAGTGTTATTAGATTCAGTATCAAAGTAACTGTTTAGTAATGTTGACTTATTAAAAATATAATTTATTAAATGAAACGAATTTTTATTTTCTTAAACAAGAATAAAGAAAAGGTTTCAATAAAATGTTTATGAAATCTACAGTACTGAAGACGGTTATGGTAAATATCCTATCAAAGGGCATGGATGCATAAAGACATATAAAGAAAAAGCGCCTTAGTTCTACTATCAAATAATTCTACTATAATTAAACTAATATTTAGGAAATGGGTTGCTTAAAAAAATTTTAGTTATAAAAAAGTAATATAGACAAAACTGTTGAAAATTGTATGTAAGTAAATTCTGTCTTATGCAAAATTAATTTACTACAGACATCAATTTCTAACAACAAACAAAATTATATTAATTAATTGATTGTTACCAACAATATTTAGACCACAGAGTCTAAATAGACCATTTTTGATATTTTTTGCATAACACGGAACGCAAACTTATGGAAAGAAATAAAATTCAAGCCATCTCTTTCGCACGAATAACATGGTGGTAGCTCTTCGTTTGGTGGTAGCGCCGTGTGAAAAGTTTATATTGTTTGTCTTATACGCCTTTGTTTACGTGTCCAACTTCCAGATAGGTTTTAAGTAGATAAAATTATAATCCTGTCGTTTATGGAAATTAATGTTACTGTCTCCAATATACAGTTTGTGCATAAGATAAAATATCATAACCGGGTGAAATGAATAACGGGGACGTCGGAGGATCCAGAGGCAGAGGTCGTGGATGGCAGCAAAACGATAATCAACCTCGTGAACTTCGCCGACCGAAAACCGTTGTTGAAGGTAATGATGCTAGATTATGTGTAGTTTTAGTTAACACTTTCACAAGATGAATACAAGTGAGTGGTAGAGCGACGTCATACATTCCTCGTCTATGCACACCAAGACACCAGGTGAAAGTTTTAAAGATTTTCATACATGATGACGTCGACTTACTTTGACAGATAGCAACCGGTTGTTATGCTATACTAGCACTGTATTTAATTTATATTTGACTCATAGTTTTTTTGTCGATTTCCATGGGGAATTTTTTGTATACGACATATTTCGTTGCATTCTATTTTCCTCTATTATAAACGTTTTCTTCAGACATTTTAAATGATTTATTCCAATTCCTTTGTTCGATAGTTGAACCATCAAAATCGAAGTTGTCTGCTGATGCAAAAGAATGGTACCCACCTAACTATGTGCCACAGCCAGCGACATACACAGACCCTTCGCCCTACAGGCCCCAGCGCTTCTCTGTTCAAAGCAGACTACGTCAAGCGCAGGATGTGAATCCTTACAGTTATGAAGAAATGTCATTTGCACTTGAAGAATTTGAAAATGCGGATCTGCGGGTTCGTTGATAACAAAAAACAAAGTGTTTATTTTATTAAACTTCAAATAACTTCATTTAATAAAATAAATGTTTTAGGAGAATCTTGCCAATTTGATTACTGTTATGTGTGAGATAACATTTGAACCTGGCAAGTTTGATACACTGTGTGGACCGTTAGTTGACTCTTTTGTGTCAACATTACATGATGTCAACTATACTAGGCCTCTTGTTGAAGCTATTGTGAATCAGGTATGATTAACGAAACTATTAAAACTAAATATTAAAAATTATTAAATATAACTACAAAAAAATCATCTCTAAATAATGTCCTTGTTTATGGCTCTCGCTTAGTGGATTGACAAAATAATGTTATAGTAAGCATTAAGTTCATCTATGTCAAATAAACAATTTCGAAGTGCTTTTGAAATTGTTCGTCAATTTTTTTTATTATTCATCACTTTTCAATATTTGCATATTGAAATACTATTTATCTTGCAATTATTAATTATATCTCTTAGGTCTCATAACAGATTTATTGGATTGGTTGAATAAAATATTTTACAGTTCAGCAGTAATAGATAATTTTAATCCTTTCTATTTAGTCAATTGCTGAATCTAATTTCCGCTACAATGGGGCAAGACTCTGCTCGATGTATGATTCAGTGTCGCCACCAGAAGAGTCCAAGTTCCGCTCTTGTCTTTTGGAGCGTTGTGCCGCTGAGGAGAATAAGATCATTAGCGGAGTCGAGACATCGGAGGAGAATATGAGAGGGTTTGCTATGTTCCTTGCAGAGATCTATACCCAACTGGAGGACAGCCAGGTATAAAAAAAACTTTAGTCATTTATTGTCATTAACAACACACAAATGTAACCTTTTATTTAGTAAAAAGTAAGTATGTATAAACTATCGTTTTTTTTAAATATTGTTTGAATTGTAGCATGTTTTTGTTGTTTTAAAAAATCTATTTTTAATTGATATTTTATATTTAAAATTTTATAAAGAATTTTACTTGATTTCAGTAGTATATGTGTCTTATTGCATAGTATAATTTTCAGGGTGGACGCTTAAAATCTTTAGGTGAAAGCCTCTGCAAAGTGCTTCTTCATTTGTTGGACACCGACAAAGAGATCAATATCAAAGCAGTGTGTCAGTTACTTAAAGTGAGTACATGTTTTGGATTACTTTACTTAAGTCAAAAAAGTATATAATCTAAATTACAGTAAGATAAGGCAGATAAAGGAATTGAGTTGCACTATTAAGTGTCGTTTACTTTGAAATATAAAAACGAATGAATTTATTAAAAAAAAATCAGAAAAAATTGAATGACAGTAGACATAAGGATAAAAATACTTCAATATTGATATTATCTATTAGTTAAAAATGTTCAATAACAGCATAACTTTTGTATTTATAATCACCACATTTGACATAAGTAAAAGTAATATGTGTGTGGTCGTACAGTTGTCGGGCATAGCGCTGGACGCGGACTGCCCGACAGGCATGCACGCGGCATTCGAGCGGCTGCGGAAGCGCTCCTCGCTGCCGTGCGTACGCGGCGTGGTAGCACTGCGGGCGGCGCGCTGGGGCCTCACCGAGCCCGACAGAGAGCCCCAGCCGCCGCACAACCCCGCCCCGCAATCCGCACCTAGCGCCCACGATACCAGGCGACGACAACCTAACAATAGTAAGTTCTTACTGCTAACCTTACCAACATTCTATCATAATCCATCCAGTATTCATTCCAAGTAACCTAACCTTTTGACAACTCACATCCCCACCGAGGATCTCAAGCTTGACCTACATCGCGGTAGACATGAAAAAAACCAAAATTTTAAAAATATTATAATTTCAAGTTTATCTGATTTTAATTGGGAAAAATCCTACTTTACCTTTATACCTTTCATTTTTTTTTTTGAGATGACATGGTAGACATTTAAAGATATGATGTTATACATGAAAAAATTGTATGTCACGAATTTCAACTGTTCTATTGGATCAATTACAATTTACACAGGCTATTTTACATGCACATGCTTTTCATGTTCAAATATTTGATAGTACATATCATTTGGCCAGCAATTTCACTAGCTTACTAAGCCCTTGCCACTTAACATACAAATACAGCTACTTGCTGCTTATGTTATGTAAATTTACCTAACAGCATTTCATATGTAAAGTCTTAACAATATGATTGACCCGTTTTATCATTTACATAGTTAAATTAATCCACATAACTAAAATGTGTTCCGTTGGATTTTTATGTATTAGTAAAACGGGACTTTTATATTGTTAATTTTAATATAATAATGAGCGCATTAATAAACCTTATATTAAAATAATAAATATGGTTTTGGTTATGCTTATCACAACAGATAAAGGAAAATATAAAGGTACCATTTTATTGTTGTTTAAGTTCAAAAACCTTGCTGGACGAATCAAACATTTTTAAATTATTGACATTTGATAATAGTTAATTATAAACTTTGGTATGATCTGGGTTTTTATATATTGCTAGGCAAGTCGACGGCAGTGAATGTGTTAAAGAGCGTACTACAGACGACAAGTCATGTCCATAAGACATGACAAAATCCGTACCATTTAGATGAAAGGATACGTTTAGGACATGCGGCAGGAGCCATTGGCTTACTTTATCCACGTTGTTAGTATGTAAATAAATATATGTATTGTATTTGTTGGAACAGTATATAACGGTGATATGGAAGGAGGGGCGAACAACGAGGGAGGTTACCTTGCCGACGGGCACACGCTCACGGCGGAGGAGTGCGCCTTCCTCCAGAGCAACCTGCCGCCTAAGGCTGCAGCTATCGACGAAGACATACTGTGAGTTTTTACATATAGGATATGCAAATCATAGAATTTGTTTATACTTAGTAGTTTAGTAATTTGCATTTTTCGTTAGCATATTGAACTTGGTTTAAGGTTGGTAAAGACGCGTACGAAATTTCATTGTAAATAGCATAATTTTAATAAATTAACTGTGCAACAAAGAACAATTCTTATTTACATGTTTATATATAATTTAAACGGAATGTTGAACTACAAAATTTGGTCTATATGTACAAATTATAATAGTTAATCGTCAAATAATTGTTTGAATTCATAAGGTGCAAAAGCAATCGATGGCGATATCTGGCAAAGGTTTAAATTCAGTAGTACTTTACATTTGTTGTCCAGCAAGTGTTTTACAAATAAGACATAATCTTATAACATAGCTTGTCGCTTGTAAACAAAATTTGCCTACCAAATAATCAAATTTGCATGCTTTTAAATTATTTTATTACAGTTGATTAGCTTAGCTACTTACTTTGTGTTCTATAGTTATTTTATTTATGGTTTATACTTATAATTCATCAAAAGATGCATGTCTCATTACCCACATATGCGATAGCTTTTTGCCTAGTCCTGGTTCATATAGTGAGTCTAGATTACATCTAGTATTGTTAAAAATGTAATTGTAACATTATGTACATTTTCAGAGACGAACTAGAAAACGACGCATGGGAGACTGGCATGGACGCCGAGATGCAGGCCGGTTTCCTCGAATTTCTTAAGATGTCCAATCAGATCAAACGATAACCACACTTATAGTATGCGACTACTGTTACTAACTAAACAAAGTCGCATCATCACTCTACCACAGGAGAAGTGTTTAAAAGTAATAAAAAAAATTATAAAAAACTTGGAAAATAATAAAAATATCTCAGTCGCAGACCATCACTTTAGAAGAATTAGTATTAATTAGGATTGGAATAGTGAAGCGATATGATTAGAGACCATACTATCATTTATGGAAGAGAATATCAGTTGTGTGAAAATCATATCTCGGAACATCTGGTTGTGTATTCAGCTCCTTATTTGTGATACAGCAAAGTGGGTGATCGCATTGAATTGCAACGTAAGTAATACTTCCATTTATGCATTTGTTAGTAATATCTTAAAGTTTAATGTGACATAACCAAAAATACTGACATTTACTGCCTTTAAATGAATATGTTGTAATATCAAATACATATAAAATAGGTGCTCTTTTAGAGTGATTATTGGATGTTAAAGTTCTATATTATTTTTTATTCTCATCTATACGAGCCAATTAGAATAATGTATGCAGATGTCAGTGTTTTGTTTTATTTGCAATTTGATTTGTACATTTTGGTCTGCCGCTGAGTAGAATAAATTCATAATAACATGCGAGCAACATTAATTACTTTGGATAAAGATTTTTTATTTCGTCACATTTGAATCAAATAACATCATCATAAAAATGAAAATAACTGAACTGGAAAAAAATCTAAAAAAGAATGTCATGTAATTGGGACAAAATAATCAGGCGTTTTCAAATGCTTATTTAAAAATTGAGAAATAAAATATGTTTTTAAAGGTCCGTAATGTTATTTTTCGTATGATACTTTATTTGTATAATTTGATGAAGGAATTTGTTTTCTTTGTTGTATTAATTTTAAAGCCCAATTGTTTACATTTTGTCTGTACTTCTAGTTATTTAATGATCTCATTTTGTAACTGTTTCAAAATTCTTGACAATAAATATAAAATTGCTTACAAAATGTTATAGAATAAACTGCATAATAAACACATTATAGTCAGATATAGAACAACTGGAAATCAAAATCCAATGAGGAGCGTTTAATGTGTTTAAGTAGTGTTAGAATTGATATTCTTTAAAAAGCAAAGCAAAATAATGCACAAAAAAATACAAATTTTACTTTATTTGCAAGTGTAGAGGCAAAATGACAATAACTCTCTTATTTTAATGTAATCAATAATGCATTCTTTTAAAATGTCTCCCGGGACGCATATGAAAATGAAATCTTGGATGGCTTAAAAATGAAGATGAAATTTTATTATTATATGAGGACATGATAAACTTTTTTATTAAAACAATTTTTTAAATCCACAGCACAGATTGAAAAACAATAGGTTGTATGTATAACCTTTAATTATTTTTAGGTTATGTTTAGTTTATATTCCTTTATTTCTATCTTAAAATTGTGTTTATTATTTTAATTCAATTAGGTTCACCTTAATTATGTGAAAATTGTTTTATTAAAAATATATCACATTACGCCCTCTAACGGCTTTTTATGATCAGCCGAATATTTAAGTAAATATTTCCATGAATTTTATTTGTATTTGGTGCACGAATGCTACCAGTAATGCCAAATTCGTTACATTGTGTTGTTTATAATTGCTTGTTATTGACATAATGCTTATTTGTATGAAGTGAAATTGTGTGATAAATGTATAATTATGTATTTTAATAATGACCTAATTGCCAGTCTATTATCACGTTCATATATCAGTAATGTTTTCTACACACATTCATACTGTTGTCGTCTGTTGTATATCAGAATTGAACACATTTTTAAATATTTTTGCAATATATACTGGAATTATTTATTTAAAGCGATTAGGGCGAATGTTTATAATATTCCATTGTATTTTTGTTGCAGTGATATTATGAATGTTATAAGAATAAATGGATATTTTATTATAAGTCATTTAAGTAAAATGTCGTTTTATTTCTCTAAACCCTGAATATACTGTAATGTTCAATTCCAAAAAAATTACAATCCTTTTATAGATTGTTTAAAAATATTGTACCCCCTTGAATACAAATACTTTTTGATAATAGTTGTTGAGGTGTTACGTTATCTATATGTAGGTCAAGACAGATTATTTTTTGTCCACAGATTACAAAAGTAATATGTAGGTATGTTATAAGAACTTAGGATTGTCTTGTTCACAAAATTGATAAAATAAGTGTTTTTGGAAAATCTTTCGAACATTTATTAATCTTACTCAGAAAAAGATTAAAGATATAAAAACTTTCTCACGCGTTTAACCGTTGGTTTCTGAGATGAAAATCTCTGTAAAAACAATATGTTTTAAAACGGTGATTTTGGACTCAGAAACCCACAGTTAGTAAAAAGTTTTCCTTTAAATCACTGAACTAAGCTATTGAACTACCAAATTCAATATACCAGTTTCATTTTATCGACAATTTTAAAAGTGGAAATGAAAAATTCTTAAACATCTTAAAATTGTTTATTGAGTCTTGATAATAATGATTATGTTAATTCTGGCAGCACTTTGTAAGGGTTGAGGATATGATTGGGGTCCATCAGTTGTTTGAGTTGCTTCATCAAGTGTATAGCTGTAACATCTTTGCTGTAGTGAATGTAATGCGGCTTGCGGAATCCGACGCCGTGCTCCGCGCTTATTGAACCGTTCAACTTGGCCACTTCTTCAAATATATACGGTTCCAACATTGAACATACTTCTTCGTCGTACTTCGGTACTGTCACGTTGATATGGATGTTACCATCGCCTACGAAAATGGGCGAAATGTGTTAGCACATATTTTGCTTTTAATAATTGCTGATATTAGGATAATGGCGATCACACAACAGTTTGTCTAATATAATATCGACCACTGGGTCAGTGAAGAATGTGTTCTATTTGCTCCTTATTCTCCTACGATTGAACAATAGTTGGCCCTTAACTACACAAGTATTTAGGAAGGATAAACTTGCCCAATAGCTACTGATGTTGCTAGCTGCTACAAAATTTCCACATCTATGAAATTTGTATGGACACATTTGTTGTCTCTGTTTTTTCCAATGATAATGAAAGAGGTGACTATATAAATTAATATGAAACAACACATAGAAGGAATTTATCTTACCAACATGTCCATATCCGTATACTTTGATCGCCTTCGAGCCTAACTTCTGCCTGAGCAGCGGCACGAGGCTGTAATAGTTCGCAAGCGGTATTGACACGTCGTATTTGAACACGTAGCCGTCTATCAGACCCGCGCCGGCTATGCTCTCACGTAGATTCCAGATTGTCTGCAAATATAATCTTTATTTAATGATTCCTGTAATAAAATGTTAGATTTTACTAATGCTCTCTCCCTCCAACTCTTTTGCCTCCCCCTCTCACTTAACGTACTGTATTTTTATAGCATATCAAAGTCTTGAACTCTATTAAAATGATAAGAACACCTGCATTTTGGCAGGTTCCGAAGTGACAGTTCCGTCAATTATGAGTCCGCTTTCCATCTCCTTGTCCAGGAATCTCGTCAGCTTCTCAGCGTCGTGAGTTTCGTCACTGCCGCTCGTTTCCACCAGAACGTAGAAAGGATAATCTGATATTGGATTTCTGGAACAAAACTTAATATCGTAAATAAACACATCTCGAGACAAAAGTTTTTAGCTTTTTTATTTCTAAACTCACGGCAATTTAAGATTTTGTACAGTGGAGGAGATAGAATCATTGTCAGCCATTTCGAAGGCAGATAAAATTTCTCCGAGCGATGATTTAGCGCTTGCATACAGACGAAGGACATTTTCGAAGTTTTCCACACCTGCAAAATATGTTTAGTAAACTTCTTATAAAGAAAATTGGAAAGTATTAGTTTATTGCGAAAAAACTCTGTCCGATATAAAGTTTATTTAAGTATCTTCGAAATGGCTTGAGGCCAAGACGCCTTGTTTACTCATCCTATTTTAAGACAAAAATATTTTAGATTTTATGTACATACTGTATTTATATACTAAGCCCATACTATGTATATTCCTTTCTCTACGCACAACTAATTTTAAAAGAGATATTATTTATATGATGAAATGATTTAAGAGATATTAAGATATACCGAAAAATCCAAGTGAAACAGCTTTCGGAAGCGCGGGGCAATGGATTGCAACTTTGGTCACAACACCCAAAGTGCCTTCGGAACCGATGAACAGATGCTTCAAGTGATATCCTGTGTTGTCCTTTTTTAAAGTTTTGAGGCAATCTATGACGGTACCGTCGGCTTTCACCTTGGGACAAAAATCATAACAGACTATCGTTGTAAAATAAGGACTGTTAATAAAAAACCATTTACATATGGACAGCCCAGTGGCCATTCCAATGCAATACCACGTTAAATCATTACACAGACCAATAACCATAAACAAATTAATAAATGCTTAATAGTACATTAATAGTCATAATTCCAGAATAATTAACAAATGTGCTCACAGCTTCAACGCCTAACACTGATCCGTGCAGATTCCCGTAGCGCAATAGCCGCAGTCCTCCAGCGTTCGTGCTCACGTTGCCGCCAATGTGACATGATCCTTTCGCACCCAAGTCCAAAGGCATTATCAGATTACGCTCCCGCACATAACTGTCCAAATTCTCCAAAACACACCCCGACTCACAAACTAATGCACCTGTATAAGATAGAATACTGTTTAGGGTATTTATATATTGCTATTTATGACTGGGATTCATTCGAAAGTAGGAGTATCGAGAAACCACCTGATAAAATTTTACAATCGCTTTTCCAATAGCTTGAATTCTTAAACAACTTCCACCCTTCAAAATTATACAGATCGATGTGCTGCCCTCAATTTTCACAGAAATGTCCTCAATAAACTTATTTCTGTGTAATTAAAGTTTACCTGAAAGTTCATCTAAGCTGATAATTTTGTTCATAAGCATAAAACTCAGGACGATCTCATCGAAGACAGGCACCGACCCGCCGACCAGTCCCGTGTTCCCGCCCTGCGGACACACCGCTAGCCGTTTCTCGTTGCAGTACCTCAAAATTCGAGACACCTCTTCTGTTGACTTTGGCTTCAAAACTAATTTCGATTGTCCTGAAAATACATCATAATAATTATTCTTAAAGAAAAAGATCAACAATATCTTCTTCTTACTAAATAATAAATGCGAATGTTTGTATGGATGGATGTTTGTTACAAGGTATCTTCGAAACGGCTCAACGGATTTTGCATAGATGTAGATCTTAGCCAGGAAGAACACATAGGCGACTAATTACGGTTTTTTAATTTCGCGCGGTCGGAGTCATGGGCGACAATTAGTTGTAACAAATGTAATATATGTTGTAAAAAATGTAAATACAAAACAATAACTTAATTTTCCAAACATTTAACGTAAATATTTTTATGTAAATACAGAAAAAACGTAAATAATGGCAATTAAAAGAGGAAAAGTCGACTACATACCCCGGCAATTTTTAATCCAATCAATATTAAATGGAAGAACATCATTTTCATCAGTGAGCACTCGATCTTCACTTAAAATTGTCTTAAAGTAATCTACGTCGGAAGGTTGTATGTTGCCGAATTGCTTTCTTATTACTTTGTATTTCTCCTGTTAATAATGTACCTCCTTATTATTATTAAAAAAAACATTCACAGTTTTTCGTTTAAAATCATAAAAGCGACAAAAGCTGAATCTTTAGTATAATATGATCCGAAAAGTGTGCAATTTTTGTACCAGGAATCGAACCCTTCAATAAAACATTTTGAATTATGTATTGCTAATAAAACGGCATAAAATGTAAAAAAAGCAAGCATGTTTTCTTTTAATGCTTGTTTACTGAAGTCAAATTCTTCTTTATGAAGATTAGTTTTGAATTAATAATTGTATGAACTACGATAAGATAAAACTATTTAAGCGAGGAGTTGTTTGAAAGTCGTATTAAAGTTTATTTAGTTATATTTTCCTTTATTTTTTTTTTCAGAATGTACATTTTTTTTTAAATACACACACCTGAAATTCCCAAATAATAAGACACTTCGAAGTTGCTTCGGGGTCAAGTTGTAATAAATAATATATCTTACCGAGGATAACTGTGGTAAAACTTGTGATGCACATCTTATTTGATTGAAAACATTGGTATTTTTTAAATTGCTTAACAGCAAAGTCCATGGATTTAACATTACTTCAAAATTGTTTCACAGAAAAAATATTTTTATTTAATACCGTAGCACGGAGCAACTAATCGGTACTACTGCGTTGTTTGTTGATTGTACGATGTAAATGTATCCTTACGTAATCATTTCGAGTGAGAGTTTGTTTATAGACGTCGCGTATTTGTTATCTATAATTATGATAAATAAACCACTGGTAATGTAAAGATCGCAGTACATTCGTTTACATAAGCAGCATTTATGTAACCACATTTTCATCTCAGATTTTTTAATTGATTTTGAGGGTATGTCAGAAGAGAGAGTTTGTATAGCGAAAGAAAATCTCATTATTGTTTGAACAAGAAAAATAAAATTCTTTGATCTTATGTTACAAACTAAATTATCATAAAGGAAAACAAGTAAACAAAAAAAATAACTGTCATAATTAGATATACTCTTTGGCCTTAATTGTCATGTCAGAATTGAACCTAAGGGTCTGTTACCAGGTCATAAAATTAAAAAAAAAGTTGGTTTTGACAGGCGGTCGGTTTCCACGTGTTTTTGACAATATTTAAAAAGTCTTTAAGTGTTTGAAATACTTAAAATGGCTAAATTGAAACTGAAGAAAACTAAGAAAGCAGTTCAACAACCCACTGCTAATACCACAAAAGATGAAAATATGGTTGTCCTTCCACCAGTCCGAATGTCCGATGATCCATTGCCTAAACAGGTATGTATATTTTCTTTTCGTTCTTACAAACTGATAATTCAAGGGATATTTTACTAATAAATGGTATTTCATGTTATAGGTAAAATGGATAAACAGACAGCGAGTTCTTGTGTTTGCTGCTCGTGGTATCAACCATCGTCACCGTCATCTTATGGAAGATATAAAAAGATTAATGCCTCATCACAAAACTGAGTCCAAAATGGAAAGAAGCAAGAATCTTTATGTTGTCAATGAAATAAGTGAAATGAAAAATTGCAACAAATGCCTCCTGTTTGAAGGAAGGAAAATGAGAGATCTATATCTATGGATGTCTAATGTCCCGAATGGGCCAAGTGCAAAGTTTTTAATAGAGAACAGTTAGTATCATTATGTTATCATTAATAAAATTTTGCATCCAGGGATAGGTGTTGATTCAACAGTTGATCACATTTCAACAATTGTCTATATTTCATTCAATTTGTTGAATACAACTGAAGTTTAAAGTCATTATATTTTTTTCCGCCACCAGTTTTCGGGCCTTATTTGTTGAATGTGTGATTAATTAGTTGTCATATCAACAAGTTGAAAAGCAAATTAATGTAATGTTTCTATGTCATTGTAGAAATTGTACTTCGGCTATTATTTTTCCTGTATTAATTTCAGTTTACACAATGGGAGAGCTGAAGATGACTGGGAATTGTTTGAAAGGGTCTAGACCTCTTTTATCCTTTGATCCACAATTCACAAAGGACCCTCATTATAGTTTATTAAAGGAGCTGCTCATTCAGACATTTGGAGTGCCCAGATACCATCCAAAGAGCCAGCCATTCTTTGATCATGTGTACACATTTATGATTCTTGACAACAGAATTTGGTTTAGGAATTATCAAATACTTTCTGAAGATGGAGCTTTAGCGGAAATCGGACCAAGATTTGTTTTGAACCCTGTAAGTATAAAACTTTGTATACAAATGATTATGAAATGAATAAATAGCATTAATTCTCATGGATTTACTATAAATCTATTCTTAGGTAAAAATATTTTCTGGATCATTTGGTGGGACAACATTATGGGAGAATCCAAAATATGTCAGCCCTGCCAAACTGAGACAAGCAATGTCTAAGAAGGCAGGTAACAAATATGAGAGGAGAATTGAAAAGAAGGCAATGCATGAAGCGACTAAACCAGAGACTGGATATCCTGATATAGAGGGTCCTGATTTTTTCAAAGGTGATCCTATGGAGCAGGCTCAAGACGTGGTGGTTAAAGGTAGGTGTTACTAGTATTTTCCAGTAAAAAAATAAACCTGACTTTTTACGATTGAATTTCCTTGAAAATAACAAACCCTTAGCCCCTGTGTTCTTCCTGCCTATGTAGACGCAGACATCTATGCCAAATTTCTGCGACATCCATTGAGCTATTCCGGAGATACCTTCAAACTAACATCCATCCATCCAAACATTTGCATTCATAATATTAGATAAATAAAATAATTCATGGTAACCAGTGCTATATCAAATACCAGTCACTTAATAGATATTAAAATTTTCAGAGGAAGTAAATAATGATGATGATGATGCAAGTGATGAAGAAGTGGGTATTGCAAGTGATGAAGCAGAGGGTGATACAAGTGTTGATGAAATTCCAGACACAAAGAACAATCCTAATTTTAGTATGAAAATAAACAAAACCAAGCCAGAGAAGACAATAAGGAGAAAACAGCTAAAAGCAAAGAGCAAGGCTATATCCGATCAAATCAAAAAGAGGAAAAATAAACAGTTTAAGAAAAAATCTGTAAAAAAATGAAAGTCTTCAAAAGGTTTATAAAATAAAAAGAAATTTATATATGTCAGTTTTATTTAATTAAAAGCATAAAGAAACATTGATATAGATTTTATCATTTGATGATTTAACAATGGAAGATAATTATTTTATGTGAGGTAGACAAAAATTAACAAATGTACTTTTAATTGCATTGATATTATAATTACGTTGGGATCATCAAAAATATTTGTTTATTAATTACAGCCTGGTAAAATATACAAAAAATAATATTTTTGAATAAATAATAACATGATAGTAATGATACACACAAATGTCAATATCCCTGTTAAAAAATAATAAAAAATTCGAGAAAAATCTTCACAAGAATGAAGTGGACTCCTATTATATTTTTAACTCACTAATAACATTTAAAACCATTATTATAAAGCTTGTTTGAAATAAATTACCAATAAAATCGCAGACCCAAATGGCATATGTATTTCAATTTGAAGATATAACTAAAGCATATATCATGTATAAAATTATATACACATTGTGCAAGTGATTCATATTAATTTTTAGAGTTTACTAACGTAATTAGTTAGCTTAAATTTCAATACACATCCAATTAAAAATTGTGTAAAAATATTTTGGACGGTAAAGCATGAGAATCCTTAAAACCTATAAATATTAAAATTATCTGGAGTTGATTTTGGAAGAGAACAATTATTAAATTAAAATTAATAAAAATTAAAGCCTCTATTTCTAAAAAATAAAAAATATTTAAAAACTTTTTTCCTTGCTTTTTCAAACAACAAAAAATATACTTTCACTATTCTGAGGGTACATTCGAGTATTTTAAAAATACTGACAAGATTGTCTTTTTTCCAAAATGGATTTTCTTATATCAAAATTATAAATTGTTGAATACAACAATGAGAGTATAAAATGTCTTATAAATGTTTATTTTTGATTTTTTCCTTTATCTCATAAAAATTTTATTTTGTTAAATGTTTCAAATCACGCCGTATTTTAAAATTATTTAAAAGGTCATAATATAATGTGTATTAGAAAACAGTGATTATGTTATAAGGTCCATACGTGCGGTTACTAAAACTGAAGAAATATTGAAATTTTATCAGTACATAGTCTTTTAAAGCATTCAATAATTCAAATCATAGTTATAACTGAGCATTGTTTAAAAAGTAAAGTAAGATTAAAATAAAAAAAATAAAAAAACTTATGCTAAATTTCAGCTTACACTGGAGTTAATATATGCCTATCACACTATAAATTATTAAAAAAAAGATCAAAAAAGTGTAAAGTAAAAGCAAAAATAGGTTATGTCTTAAATTTAAACGATTCGTTTTATCGTCACCTACATAATTGTAGTATTATAAAATATTCCTCGAGTGCCAGACCCAATTGTTATGATTTTACAATTCCTGTTCACCCACATTTGATCATCAATGGCAGTTATTTACCTGGAAATATAAAAAAAATAATTCAAATTCACTCCAGACGATATGATCACTTCAAAATTATATGAACATTTTATATTTAATGGCAATTTTAAGTAGTCAAATGCTACTATTAATTTCATGCACGTCGGTTGGAGTTTTTATACAATTTCGATACATGCTTTTACCCACGGACTACGAATTGGTTAGTTTTTGATTTTACTACAAACTAATGGAGGGAAAAACTAAAAGGTAAATCTTACTACAAGCTAATGGAGGGAAAAACTAAAAGCTCTTCGTAGGTGGCAGCAGTCTCAAGAGTCTACTGTCATAAGTTTTTATACGTCATTCTCTCGATATATAAAGAAAAAAAATCGAAGCCGGATTGCAACATGCATCCAATTTTTTAATTGAAACTTAATGGTTGTTGCTATGCCTAGAGTCCACAGAGTACTTTGTATATATAGTGTTTGATAGACATACAATAAAGTTTAAAAACCACCGATTTGAGGTGTCGATGTGAACTTTCAAGTTAGTAAGTCACCAAATTTAGAAGGTACACCGAACATACAACATGCATAAACTCACGATATTAATACTTTTCATGGAGGCCCTGCAGCTCGGCGCCCTCCTGCTCCTCCTCCTTGTCGGGCCGGTGTCCGCCCAACTCGGCAAGCCGCGAAGACTTCCAGCGGCCATTCGCGTTGTCCATATTACGATCCTCGCACACGCACAGGAACAACGAGTCTACTACCATCTGTCAATATTTATCAATTTTTATTTTCAACACTTTTTCGACATGGAAAAATAAAACACTTAGTAATTTTGTTGTTTTTTTTTAAATAAGAATTACAGTGGCACTGTGTGTGTAGGTGTTAACATATAAAATATATATAAATTTTATACAAACCTCGTATAGAGACAGTATGCAGTGGGCGATCAAAAAGGAGAATATACATATGAAGAGTGTGGGCACTGCAAAGAAATGCAAGTCGTTGTTCCTCTTAAGCAGCAACAGGCCGATGATGCCCGTCACCGCGGTCACTATGCACTTGCCCAGGAACAGGATGAAGTCACCTATACTATTTATAGTCGCCACTTGCAGCGCGTTGTTCACTATCGTACTGAACGCCTACAATATAATATATTACTCTGAGTGGCGCGAAATGAATGAGTGGACCATAAGGTGGCAAACGAGTTATCGGCCACCTGAAATAGCGAAGTGACCGTTGCCCATAGATATACGCAATTGCATATGCGTTGCCTACCTTTAATCCACGGAGGAGAGGACGCACAGATAGAAAATATTTTACCTTTCCATGCATCCTCTCATCCGGAAAGTCCACTTCCACTTCCCATCCTTTGCTATTAAGAAATACAGTGGGAAGGGAAAGAGGACTAAATTAGGCCTCCGGAACACTTAGTTTGGTAATACATCTGGAATTCTTGAAAGCAATAGCTGCAGTTGATAAGACTAAAGTCACTTAACATTAGGTCTCATCCTTTAATTTATAAAAAAAATAGATAGCATGTCTCATGAAAAATATATATTAACACCTGAATCATTGTGACATCTTTTGTCCAAAAAGCTATAAAATGTCAAGTCCCATTTTGTAAAAGGGCGAGTTCATTTGTCATCGTCATTGTTGCTTTATCATTACCCTAATGTAACCTTTATTTATCAAAACACAACAGCATCAAACAATTAACTAAAGGTTTCTTTAAATATAATGATAGTTTAACATTTTGCAAACAATTGATAAGTTAATTTACATAATGTAACATTGTATTACTAATAGAATAATACTTTTTATACATTTAAAATCTTGCTAATATTAAAAATCCGAATGTTTAAATGTATGGATAGATGAGTGTTTGTTAGAAGCTATCTCCAAAACAGGTAGAGGGATCTCGCTGAAATTTGCCATAGATGCAGAACAAAATCTAGAACACATAGGCTACTAAGTTTTTTTAATTCCACACTTTCGGAATCGTGGGTCGCAACTAGTTTATTACAGGTATATTCCATATTTTATAGTCACAGTCCGAAAATATGTCATACTAAAATCCTTAATTAATGACCAACGGTAATCATAGGGGCTGATATATGTTTTTTCTATGTGAGATGCTACTGCTAAGCAGATTTAGTCAATAAACAACTTACCCTCGCAGCGGCTTTACAAAAGTGACATCTCTCGATAGTTATTATTGTGTACGCATTATGATTGAGATAACGAATGAACTTCTCCAGGCAATAGAAGCAACAGATACCACATTTGAGACCGCACTTGGCACACTCAGAACCCTTTTCTGCTCTGGACGATAACCTGTCGAAAATACACAATAAATAAACAACATAATCAAGTCTGTAATCCAGAGGGGTAGGTATTGACCAAAAACCATCATTTGGCGCGGACACGCCTCTCTCTTCTACATAAATACATCTACACATTTATGCACGTCATTTTGGGTAATTGAAATCAATAAATAATAATTGTTACACAGGATGTCCTAATAAAAATTCGCCATTAAGAGTAATTTACAAGCTGCTGTAATACAAGCCTCTTTGCGAGATTAAATAAAGTATGATGTAACACGCAACAGAAACCAGATAATCATTAATTAAAAAAAAAATACATGAGATAAAATATAGATAAAGCTAGCAACAATTTAATCAATTAATATCCATATTTAAATACATATTAAGATATATTTTTTGGTGCTCAAAATATAATGAATAAGCAACTCTTCCTTTTATGCCTTGTGCTTGTGTTGTATTTTAAACATGTAAAAAAAGTTTATAGATTCTCTGTGATTGCTCGTTTTTGTTACGGTACGTGAGAATATCCATTGAACGATCTATTTTTTGTGAAGTGAGCGTGACCAACCGACATTACGATATGTTAATCTATATTAACCTCGCATCTGAGTCATGAATGTGGGTCGCTTACGTACAAGTTACCTTGCCGTCTCTGAATCATTCAATATAAACAATAATTCCGAGTAATTTATTTACATTATTCTTATGAAAGGCAGGTTTTCTCGATTTTATACTTTAGTTTTTTTTTTAATAAAGGATATAATCTCAGTTGAATTTAAATAAATAAGTACTATAGTAGGTTAATTGCGTGGGCTCAATACTTAATATTTTTTAAATATTTCATATTAAAAATTATACAGATATACGTACTTTGCATGTAAATATGTGAGAATGAGCCTGGGGATCTTGAACAGCGTAATAAGGAAGGACCCTTTGGCCACTGAACCCAAATGGTACTTCAAAAGTTTTCCAATTGAATACATCACTGGTGAAGGATGTGCATTAGGGCCTCTGAAAAACATTTAAGTGTTATTTTCAAAAATATTATATAATACTTCCTATGTAAACATTATACTACAGTTTAAATTTCTTTTTCCAATCAGCAATGTCAAAAAACCTAGTCTTTTTTCAGATTAATCTTTCTTTTGTCCAAAAACTGAAGACAATACATCCATTACATATTGTATTATTGTAAATGTCAATAACTAAGTTTTTTAATAGCTTACACATTTGCCTCTTTTTTGATACAAAAACCACATACACATATATTGTATACAGTACATAATTGAGGGGGTAAATACCTAAAGTACCAATGTGAGACAGCACCCGCGATGGTCATCTGTTGGCATCCGAGGATGAACTCGCTGCCCCAAATGAGGCAAATAAGGCACATCCACCACATGCTCTTAATCCATAAAGGATCAAACTCTATCTGGTCTACAACAATAAATTACATATAAATTTAAAACAGTTCCAATTTAGAAGTGAACTAATATACTTTGCAGTTGACTTACATTTCAAACTTGTTTGTGCTTGCATAGCGGAATTTTCAATATGATCTGGTGATGGAGTGCCATTAATAAAGAAATTCGTTTTAAATGGTATACCAGGGTAATTTGCTGTGGCTAGACACACCTAAGAACAAGTTCAACATTTAGTATTCAAATGAAAAGAAAAAACCAAAATTTTAAGTACAACATTTTACACATATAATATATGGAACACTATAGTAAATAAATAAATGAGTAATAGAAAAAAAGACACTGTATTAAAGATAAATAACTTACCACAACAATTGACCAGAATGCAAAGAAGATAATGAGGAAAAAGAATGTTATGATGGGCTGCAGAAATAGAGCTGGTATTGAGCCAAGGCAATGTGCCGTTTCTTTGAAAAGTGCTGCCAGGAATGAAACGCGGGAACGCATGACCCAAACCAATAACAATAAGATTACCTAAAAATGGTAATAATAATTATGAAATAGTTGTAGTAGTAATTATAAACATCAAAATAAAGTGTATTTTAAAATACTTATATGAAAAAATATAAAAAAGAAGATATTTACTTACTGTTATAATAGTTGCAATTATTGAGTACCATAAGAATGCCTTTTCATTCTTTAATGATTCCTAAAAGAATAAAATCAATCACAAATATTAGACTAACTGAAAAATTACAACTAAAAGTAATATAGTACTTAATACACTTACGGCTAAGAACATTGTTTGTGAAAAGTCTCTTTGTTTTGTGTGCAACTCATGATATGTATACCAGAGAAGTCCTGTCCCTGCAATGCTCACAATGGACACCAGTATCATGAAAATCCAAGAAACTAGGGTTGCAAGTAAATGCAAGATTGATACCATTATTAATGAACAAACTGTAAAAAAAAATGTTACAATTACAGACTGACATAACTTCTGTTACATATAAATTAAAAACATAGTAAAACTCAATTACATTTTAGTTAAGTTAATGATACTGATTATACTTACTAAATGCAATTATAACACAAATTATCATTTCTTTCCATGATGAATAAAGATCTGATAGCATTTGCTCTATAGTATCCCAGCTGTTTAATAGATCATAGAAATCTGTGAAAACTTTTTGTGCTATCTCCTTAGCTGATTTGGGAAAACAACGATTTAGCAAAGGGAAAGATTCATACACAGGCAAGGTTGGACAGGGCCCAATAAAATTGTGTAGATCACTTGAACTTATCACATTATTTAAATCTATGTCATATCTGCAAACATTTGATCCTGTTGATCTGTAAAAGTTTTGAATGTCTGTCAATGATTCTAATTTATTTTTTGGACATTGTTTTACACATATCTTCAGTGAACGTCTTAATTCCTTTATGTCCATAAAAAATAAATAGGGTTTGTCGGCAGTGCTAATTCCAGATAGTGTATAGTTTAATAATTTTTTATTGCTCTTAACGCCACACGTATTGCCGAAGGAATCATATCCATTTATAAGTCGTTGTGGATTCCCATACACGAATGAAATACACGCAATCATTAACTGCAAAGAAATAAAAAATGTACCTATATAAACATATATTTTGTATTATTTTAAAGTAACTGGTTAAAACTTACCATAAGTAACCAAAAAACAATGTAAATAACAAGCCACAATACATCGGTGCAACCTTTTCTCGGCGTTTCATTTTGAGGCGAAATTTCACTTTGTGTACATCCCATTTTTCCTTTTTTTTATATTTACTATTCCGCACTTCTCGCCATGCAAAAATAAAACTAAAACTCAATTACTCGTTTTCAAAGGAGTAAGGTTTACAAACTACAAAAAATGTTATTCATAGTAGATCCACATTATCGTGAGGGTGCGGCAGCAGGCAGACCGATGAAGCGATTGTTTTTGTTTAGTAAATTCTATTTAGTAAATGTTGGTAAATCGTATCTTGACGCGTTATGTGATTGGCTTAGAAACATTGAAATTTGAGTGTTGCATGTTTAACGGAGCATTTCTACAATTTAGCAGTATTTTTGTGCGTTCATATATTTTTATTTTTACATGGTTATTTGTTTGCAAATAGGTATTAAGAACACATTATTAAAAAGTCATGAAAGTGTTTTAAAATTAATTGATCTGCGTCACTGTAAGAGATTTTACCTTGTTTTTATTTACTACCAATCGGAACAATATTACAATGTTACTGTATAACCAACAAAGCTGTCACCTGCGCGGAATTAAAAAATGACCCTATGAGGGTTCCATTATTTTCCTTTCGAGGTACGGAACCCTAAAAAGGAAATTTAATGAGTCGCCTTTGGAACACTAAAAAAAAAATAGTTTTTACTACTCATAATCCCCCGTCCAACCACTTGATCATAGGTCGGCAATGATTTTGTGAAAATGGAAGATTACTCTCACTTAGGAATATTCTTACATCTTTAAGAAAAACTATAAAAGTATTATTATGATCATAGATTTTATTTCTAATAAATTATCTAAAAGTTATTTAAGTAACATGATGCCGATCATTTCTTGATATATTTCAAATATTTCTTAGCATTAAAGTTATCTTCAATTGTTTCAGTGATTTTGACCTTCCGCTTTGGTTTTCTCCTTTCTAATCTTATTCTTCTTTCCTCTTCTGATAATAGTGACATATCCAATGGAAGCTGCAAAAAATTAGGTAAATTCAAAATTCACTTAAAATTTTTACAGTGTATTGAGACAGTTAATACATATTTTTATAATTGTAAAAATTATTACAATGGTTGAAATAATAAAGATAGAGATAGGAAAAACAGCATCACAATTATACGAAACAAAAAAGGTTTTGTTTAATATCAATATTTTTACATTAACTCTGAATAACATAACAAGTGATAAAGGTCAAGCCAGGAGCTGAATGATGTGTAGGAAACGAATTATTTACCTTGATGATTTTCCTTGGTTCGTGATACCTTATGTTAATTGATGCACCATCAGGTAGAACTACGGTTGTAGGATACAATCTAGCATAAACTTCTCTGTGCACTTTTGTAATACTAGCTACATTATTATTTAAAAACCTGTTTATTGAAAATGACGAAGAAAAAATGTGCCTTGATTTTAACAGTAGATTACAATTTATGTTTAACATTTTGATTTAATGTTAGGCTATTGATAGTCAAAGAATCCAAATCAAAAACCTTATAACCTTTAGAAATTGAAAACAAATGAACTGTCAATGTCATTTATGATTTTTTTTTAATTTGACAAACATGTCATAACAATGTCAGTTACTTTCTGTCTCATTGTCACATGGACTTTCGACCAAAGATTAAGATGAAAAAGGGTTCTTTCGGTTTTTCGCTTGGCACAGGACAGGGATGGGTTCGCTGAGCTCACGGCCAACCTCCAGTAATGGAGAGGCAATAGAAGAAGAAGAAAGGATCTTGTTGAAATCAGCAGAAATCAGTGAACATCGATCTGGTTATTTATTTTCGTCTGAACTGGCAACATTATCATTTTAAGTCATTCATTCAAAGAGTATAATAAGTATACTATAAGCATTCATTCATGAGTTAATTCTTGGTCAATTTTAATTTGGATCATTTTTGATATCGGAGTCTTATATTACTCAAAATAACTTTACTCGGTACAAATTTTGTTGTTTAATTTTGTGTTCAGTGTGTGTTGATAAAGCTAAATGTGTATTATTTTCAAATTACAGAAGTGTTGTGATTATGACATCTATGTAACCTCTTCACCTTACGTAAGGCGCCTAATAAAGAAATATGGGTAACAAAGTCTCAGCTGAACCAATGCATATAAAATCAGACAAAAATGACAACCCTCCACCAGAGTGTCCTATGCACAATAAAACAAACGAAGCCGCCAGTGCCAAAACTGCACCTTCAGAATGTCCAGTGCAACATAGCAAGAACGATATTAATCCATACAACATGGTAGATTTCGTGTTCTAATTTTAATTATATTATATCAAATTACAAAGAAACTCACAGAATAACAAACATTACAGATGCCTCCTGCTAACCAACAACCAGCACCAGACCAACCATTTCCCCTTCCAACAAATCGACAAGTTTCTTCAATTCCAAGAGCAATGCCTGATGGCTCAACTGAATTTTGGGTTTACCCCAGCCAACAAATGTTTTGGAATGCAATGCTACGCAAGGGATGGCGTTGGAAGGATGATGAAATAAAGCAGAAAGATATGGATGACATCATTCGCATACACAATGCAAACAATGAACAAGTAATTATCAGTTCTATTTATTTATTCGTTTATTTTTCTATTACTAAAATGTATCATCTAAATTGTATGTTATGTAGGCTTGGCAAGAAGTATTGAAATGGGAAGCACTTCATGCTAAGGAGTGTGGACATCCCAGATTGAAAAGTTTTGGAGGGAAAGCAACTGATTACAGTCCAAGGGCCAGATTTCGTTCTTGGTTGGGGTGAGTTTTTTTATGTTCCTCTTTGTTACTGAAGGATGTGCTCATCCTGATATGCCTACATTGATGTATTGATAAGCTGCCCCTACACCATTGTTTCATGGCAGTTAGAATTTTGAGTTCCTTAACTTAATAGTCAAGTCAAACAAAAATGTGTATTTTCTTTAGATGGAAGTAGTAGATAGATAATATTTTAAAAAACATATGCCATCGAGAAGGATTTTTTTTAAAAACCAATAAAATAAACATGATTTTGAAACTGTTTTTATTTCAGGTATGAGCTTCCATTTGATCGTCATGACTGGATTGTAGACAGATGTGGAAAAGATGTGAGATATGTTATTGATTATTACGATGGAGGGGAAGTTGACAACAAATATCAATTTGCTCTCCTTGATGTCAGGCCAGCGATGGACTCCTTTGAAAATGTATGGGACAGAATGAGAGTTACATACATGAGATATCGTTATGAACTCTTAGGCAACAAGGAGAATACAAAATTGACTAATTAACTTTATTCTGATAGAATGTTTTTAAGTTATATGTTTTGTTTACTTAAATTATGTTCTAATTACGTCCTAGTTTCACAAGAATTATGTTTAATTGCCATTTACTGCACATAGTAAGATTTCATTGTTATGTGGGGTTCCTTTGTCGGCAAAATTGTCACTGCAGAAACTCTTTGTGATTCTTATTTCTTGTAATATAATTCGGTTTTAGTGTCATAATTAACCCTTAAAAATTAGTTTTAAATGATTACTTCTCACATTAGATTTTAGTACTAATAAGTAGTCATGAAAACTGATTTAACCATTATTTGTGTATTACACAATACAAATACCACCTTGTTGTTTTATTTAAAAACCAAATACTTCAAAAAACAATTGGGATAATTCTTATGGGTATATGTATATGTAGAATTGTCTGCGGAAGAACACAGTTGGAAGTTTTTACATGTTAAAGTTGAAAGTGATTAAAACATTTTACATGTTAAGAACAAATTGAAATTACAAACCAGTTAATATCAGAATAAAATTTAATTAAACAATAAACTGGTATTCAAATAATAATTAATTCTCCATATTAGAAGCCTGAATGACTGGTCCAACATATTTACATTCATTTTTGAAAATCTCAACTTGTTGCTCTATATATGCTTCAAAATTATTGTACGGGCAGGCAGTAAGAACTTTGGACTTTGGTTTGCCTTTGCTGCTGTGATAGACAGATCGTAATGTCAATATTGGTGGCTTTTCGGGAAAGTTAATACCTGAAATATTAAGAATAAACTAAATTAATTAAATTATGTATAAAAACAATGTATGTGCACATTGTCAATTCTAGAAAATACATAACAAAAATATACAAGATTCCTTTTTTATTGGTAGGAGTTGACACAGTCAATTCCTCTATGATTTTTATGTTCTAATAAAGTGAATACATATTGTGACTTGGTGGCACTGTATGTGTTAAAAAAAGAAGTAAGTTTTTAAATAGGAAACAATTACAATACCTATATCAATTTGTAATATCCAATAAAAGTTGTTCATTTCAAACAGAAGAGCAGCACTATTGGCATCATGTTCCAGAATCGCACCTTCATACTTGACAATAAGTTGTGCCAAAAGTCCCCGTTTTAATTTGTCATTGTTTAATAGATCTTGAATCTATAAAAATATGCACTTATGTTAATTATGAAAAAATAAAATGTTTTATGCAGAATATTAATTCAATTTTTTTATTACCTTATTATTTAAAAGATCTGTAACCATGGGAACATAATCCATTAAAACTCCTGATTGATGCATTCTGTAATTTGAAAACATTATTTTTCTTATGCAAATAAATCTTTTAAAAAAAAGCAATTTTAATATTGTGCATTTTTTATAATGTTAGTATTAAAATATTCCATACTTACAGAGGTAGAGTTATATTCCCAAGACATTTAGTTAAAAATGGTGATAAAATGAGTTCTGCATTTGTAGAATTTGGATAACGAACTAGCATAAGAGCTGTATCAATGCCAGGATTATTTTCAGTTCTACAAAAGAAAGTAATCAATTAATCTTAATTATTTACCTTAAACTATATAGCCCAAAATTGTATCTTAAAACATACCCTTCATTGTATAACTCTGGTAATCTAGATGTGTCAACTTTTAACTTAATTAAAAATTCAGCTGTATGTCCTAATACATAAACTTCAATATCTTGCTCAGAGGTAAATCCATTTCCTAAAAGGGCACTGTACTCAAAAGATGCACGGGATTCATCATCCTCATTTAACTTTTTGATCTGTAAGCAATTTTAGTTTAAAACTTAATTTATTTATTTATTATTCAGACAACATTGCCAATATAAAAAATCCTTACCTGATGTGCCTTGTACAACTTTATTAACTCATTTATAACATTGCATAGTGCATTGGGATCATTACCATTCCAATTTGCAAGGCTGGGAACCTTTTTAATAAGGAATTCTTCATCTGAATTATTAAGGAAACTGTCATCATCAAACCTGAAATCTGGGGCGAACCAAGGTGTTGATGCATCAAATATGACTTCCCATTTTAACTTTCTAGAGCAGTATGGCAAAACCAATCGGAATTGAGTTTCGGCTCCATCACAATGGCTCCCAATTCTTTCTAGGTCAACTTTTGCTTTACATAATCCTGAAAATTTAAAACATCATTAATATGTGACTACATAAAGCTGATAAAATTAAAGAAAAATTGACTATCCATAGCGTTTATTTAATTTATTCCCTAATCTGTACTCACCTAGTTCTAAATCATGATACAAATTTTGTATGTAAGGTCTAAATACTGGAGATATTTCACATAATACAGCACTGTTTTCCATTTTCATTGTTGTTGTTTATGAATATATAATATAATTATTTCGATCTTTTTTTGCTGCACAGGCGTAATCGTTGTAAGTTACAAGTACAGGAAACCCTAATTTATTTTAAGCCATGATTATAATTAATGTACAATTAAATAAGAACATATAAAGGGAAATTAAGGAAATACTTTTGACAAGCTTTTGACAAAAAGGTACTTGTCAACGATGTTATAGAACCTCCGGAAATATGTTATGTAGGTAAGTACGTAGGTATTAATACTTTATAATGAGGTTTATTTTTAATTTCATTAAAAATTTATTACATTCTATTCACCAGCATCAATATCTATCCTAGGAGTTAAAAAATACTCCCAGTCACTGATATACTTTAGGTAATTTTTTTGCAAAATATTCTACACTCTGTTTTTATTCGTGTTTATTTTATAATCTATGTAGTAATATCGGTTCTTGATTGGTTCTGTCAGGTTTATAATTTTCATTTTTCGTTTTCTCTAAGCTAAGAAAGGGAGTAATGAATAATTTTCTGTGAGTTTATAAAAACGTATAAATTTTATCACCCAATTTGTGTGATACGAAATATGAAAGACATGCATTCGGTACTTCAGAATCAATTTTCGGAACTCACAAAATTAGCCAGAAAATTCAATTGTTTCTACCTGTCAGGTATAACATTGTTTTGCTTGTATACGAGTTAATTATAAACATGAAATTAACGTACATTTATTATTGTGTTCAAGGGTTACATGAAGGCATATGTAAACCGTTTATAGTCGCAGGTCACCAAGTGGGTCTAATTCGACCAGATGTTATGAAACATCTTCATAGATTTCCTGAGGTAAACAATTTTGGATTGGACGTTGTGCTTAATGTCAAGACTTATTCTATTATCTTGTTAGATTCTTCTGTCGCTATTGTCGCAATATACAATAACCAATGCACTAAAAGTAAAAAAATATATCACTTGTTTCAGGTGTTTGTTATTACTGGAAAGTTTGTAGAGTTAAATCCGGCTTTTAGAGGATATAAAGAGAGAACTTCGAAGGTAGCTGATGTTTTACAAGCTTTACGCAAAGAAAATGAAATATGTGCTTTAAAAGGTTGGAGAGATGAGGTAAGTTACTGATATTCTTTCACATCTAAAATACCTATTTTTTCAATACCATTTCTCATAACATTGTTGATGTCATATTTGCTGTTTTATACATAGTGGAAATTGGAAGAGTTACTCATAGACAAAGTTTATACACATATAGTGTACATATCTGCTTTAGGTTATAAATATCTTTATTGAACTAAATATCTATGCTTCAGTGTTTTGAAGTGAGTACACCGTTTTATCATGAAAGTCTCCTGGAAATGGACAGAAGTGCTATTTGTCTCTTTGGTATTAGGAACTACGGAGTTAGTGTAAATGGCTATTTAACACATCCCACAAAAGGGCTTTGCATTTGGTTACAACAGAGAAGTTTCACAAAGCAAACATGGCCTGGTAAGTATTTTTTAAGACATAATAATTATTTATACATCAACCCTTCTGATGAAAGACTTACATGTTTTAAGATATGTAACTGTCTTGTCACATGCGTTGACATAATAATTGAATTCTTCATTTAAGTAAATTACTAACATAAAATAATATTTTGAAATGATCTGCAGCGGATTGTCCTATAAAACATGTATGCTAATAATCCTTATCAGTACAATATGATCATTAGTCCACCTTTATTATTATTTAAATCAATAAGCTGATAATATAATCTTATTTATTATTTTGTGTGAAATATAAACTACTGGTGTAATGTTCTTAAGTCTGTTATCAATTTATACTACAAATGATATTGTTATACCAGAAAATTGCAATAGTAATTTTTTGATAAACAATATTTGATGGTAACTTGTTTGATAGAAAGAGATGTTACTTTTTCTTGGATGGCGTTATAGGTTGAGATTAGAGTGTGTAAGATATTTTTTGGTTTTTGTTTATAGGAAAGTGGGATTGCTTTGTCAGTGGTGGTCTTGCTGTTGGCTATGGCATACTGGAGACTGCTATCAAAGAAGCAGCTGAGGAGGCTTCAGTTGTTGGTGATTTGGTAAAGAAATTAGTGCCATCTGGATGTGTAAGGTTTGTATATTAAAAATTACTCGTAAATCTAATTTGTACCTACTTCAAGATATTTTTTCTAACTTTAAAATACATATTAATTTCAATCTTGTTAAGGTTTGGTATTTATAGAATAACAGTGGCAGTAAAAAAGTAGATGGTTTACTGATACCTGTAGATAATAATTAGGTTTATTCTGTTTCCAGTTTCTTCTTTGAAAGTGAAAGAGGGCTATTTCCAAATACAGAATATGTGTATGACCTAGAGTTGCCATTTGATTTCGTGCCACAAAATGCTGATGGTGAGGTGGAGAGCTTTGAATTGTTGACAGCAGAGGAATGCATCCAGCGGGCCCTGAGTCCACAGTTCAAAACCACAAGTGCCCCAGTACTACTTGACTTTCTGATACGGAAGGGTTATATTAATCCTGAGAATGGTATCTTACTTGTGATTTTTTTTGTGAATATTTAAGACTTAAAACACGACTTTTTTTATTTACGATTTACTTTTAATTGAATTAATGACTAGTAGTTCAATATTTTACGACTTTTCAAGTTAAAATATGGTTACTTCTTGTTCATTTAATTTTGTATAAAAAGAACTAGATGATTTCATTAACCTATTGCGTATATGTGCTTTTTTTACTAACAAAATGGCAAATGAGCAAGCGGCCACCTGATTCATAGAAATGGCAAAGAGACCACTGTTCCCTGTTGGATATCTATCCAATTAAAGTTTGTTTTACACACTGACTTAATTCAGGGTGGGGTTGTTTTGGTCTAATTTAGTAGGACCACACTGCACACTCCTATAAAATATAAGTTATTATTCAAAGCTCAGCAATTTAAAATATCTACTTTAACTTATGTAATATATTTCAGAGCCTCATTACCGACATATTGTGGAGTTGTTACATGTACCATTGCAGTCAATATACAACTGGCCATACACCAGTGCAACAACTAACGGAGATGGCAAGGAATAGCATCACATTCTTCCCATTTAAATAAATTCTCTAGATATTATTTTAACAAAAATATATGGATAAGAAAGTTTTTACAAAACAATAATACCAGTGTTATTTTTCGGGTGATAATTTTAATTTGGCCTAATTTATATCCAATAGTTGTAATCATTTGGGTAGGCTTAAAGTATTACCTACATTTGTTTTTCTTTTATACCTTTCATTTAAGATCACTTTGACCAAATCCTGTAACATAGATTAGTAGTTGGGATGTTATATATCACGATAGTTTAGCTAGGTATGCTTAATTTCTGTGATACTTTACCAGTTTGGTATAAGGGATTTGTATATTATTTTTATCGGGTTTGTCATCTATATAAATACCTTTACCAAGATTAAGTATTTATTATTTGTATTACAACTTTTAAGTTAAATAAAACATTACAACTCAATTATTATTTATATAAAATATCAGTTAACATTTTTGAAGCCAGAAAAATCATCTGTTGATCAGAATTATTTTAAAACTAGTCAAAACGTGGTTAATTAAGACCTTTGTCAGCTTGAGACGTTAAACTGTTTTCATTTTAATTTAATTATTAATTAACTGTTGAAATAAATTAACGAAAATAATTAATTCGTAGCATATTATGTCATTTAAGCGACTTATTGACAGAAAATAAAATTTAAATCATGAAAGAACACTGCCATACTTATATATAAAAAAATCACAAGTTAAAAAGAAATAAGAATAGTTATGTACGAGTTAAATAACATATTAAGATATACATTTCATCATTGTCTTCCCATTTCTGTATTCACTTGGTACTTACTTTTATATTAATAGTTTAATGTCAGGTCAATCATGATAATTAAGAATTTATAATGAATCGATTAGTTTTAATTCTAAAAAAAAGTATACCTATAATGGTATTGATATTGTAAAGTTATGATCGGGGTAACCTACGTGGTATAGTACAAAATTAAAATTTAGACTTTTTGTACAAAATTTTATAAAATTAAATGAATTTTATAAAGTTGATAATGTCTTCTTTTTAGAATACTTATTGAGGTATTGCAATTAAATTTTGTATTTATTTACTAATTTTGTTAGTGTATTCTTAGTTTTTTCCATTTTCGAACGAAATTTTCAATTAGCCAATAATTCTAAATCTTAGGAATGTAATATATCGTAGGAATTCCGATCATAGCTTGTTCAATATTGTTAATAATGGCAAGAGGCCATACGAACTTAGAGTAACGATTGATTTTCTTGTACTTTACATTATAATAAGTTAGAATGTAGTGAACTGTTTTAATAAATATATAAAGTTGGTTTCAGGCAATACTTTGTGTGTGAATGTCGGAAATGTAGAAAGTGTAACATTTATTTAAAATTTCCAAAGCACCTGTTTATAAAAATATTGAGGTTATAAACATTAAAATGTTATTGCAATAATATATTTACGAACGAAACTTTGAATAATTTGGCTCTTAAATTGATATTAAAATTTCATTTATAATTTTACTGGAAATGTTGTCCAAATGATGATGTAGTTAAATGTAAACGCTAGTGATTATTTGTATATTGAGATTTAATGAAATTACAGCAATTTTATACATTTCTATGATACATTAGGTGGTGAAAGATTTTTAGATAATAAATTTACCTAAAACATACAACTTATTAATCTTTTTAATTGTAACCATTTGTATTGAAGCAAATCTAGGGAAATAGTGCTTTCCTTATCTATAAATGAAATTAAAAATTATAAAACTTTTGTTTGTTTTTGTTTAACCACCCCAGAAAATAAAACACGGATTTGTAAATAAGTAGAACTTTATTAACAACAAAGTTGCATTATTACTGATAAAAATATGTATACTAAAATATTGCATAGAAGGTTTTTAACATGGGTTAAAAAAATTAAAAACTAGTAACAACTATTGTCGATAAGAATGATAAGTTTAAAAGCGGTAATTAAGAAAATTATTATGATTGAAACACATATTGCATTAAAGAAACATTGCGTTTTAAATACACAAATCACGCAAACACTTAAGAAACTTTTAACACTCTAATACACAGATTGACCCTTACAATGGCACATTTCATATTCTCAGTCGAACTGGTAGATGTTGGTATAAAATTATCATGCTTATAAATTCTAGATATATGACTTTAGGGCACTAGGGTTTAACAAGAAAACTACAAGATTATTGATTCCCAAAATATCTAAATACAGTTTAGCATCACAGTAATCTAATATTTTAGCATCAATTCCTTTTTTATTGCTTTCATTTGACTGTATTTGTATAAATATAAAATATTCAGTCATTATCTTTTCAAAACTTGATCAGTTTTCATAGATTTATATTATCTTTTCTTTAATAAAAATACGCAAAGTAAGGGATATATCCATGTATTGAAAATGTAATTCTTACAAAAACTCGTTTAGTACAAAACTACTTTGGACTTGAATTTTTATCAGTAATCATCACCACGGGACACTACCTCCTTGCATGTTGGTCTGAGGAGAATGGTGTGCTCGTACTGCGCGGTGTAGCAGCCCTTTATGTCGCACAGGGGTGGGTATGCATCCACCACGCCCTTGTCGCACAAGTCTTTCAACGCCATCGCATAACGTGACGCCCCAGCACGCTCCAACCACCGCTTGCAGAAAGCCAGTGTACCAAAGTTTTTGTTTATCAGATTCAATAGTTGTTTCGATGATTGCAGACTGAAATATTAATAAAAGTGTTTTTTGTTGTGCCTCTATAATTCGAACAAAAGTTATTATGGTCTAATCACTTTTATATGTAAGTTTTCAGATCTATATTGTATTGTAAAGAATCACAGAATTTCACTCACCGCAGTGGCACAAATTGTTGATCAAAGTTTTTCATATAATGAGAACAGTCCATATCATCATGTACTTGTCCACGGCCAGTGGAACCGAATGTCTCAATTGCATAGAATTCATTTTCTTCCATACGTGTTGTCTCACCTCCCTTTACAATTGGTACAGTTTTACCAGCATGAATTCCTGTAATTAAGAAAAAAATTAAAAAAACGAGACATTTAATTGCATTAAATAGACAGATCGAAGTGTAACATTGTATTAATTTTAGGTGCCTATTTAGTGATGAAGTGAGTCAGACAATATTTTAATTTTGTTAAAGATTCGAGTAATTCACACATACTGTACGGTCCAATAGAGTGTCCATTTAAGTTACGAATTGGCTTCACTTGGTAAACTTGACCATCTAATTCAACTTCATGTGACTCCATTACCTGTAAAGAACAAATTCGTTTCAAATTGTACAGCCACTCTAAGCTGGCTATAAAAGGTAAGTATATAAAGTACATTAGTGTTAAATGCATACCTCTTGCACCGCAGCACCAACATCACACAGCCTGACATCAACCCCAGAAGCCTTGATGCCAGCTTCTGTAGCCTCCTGCACACCTTTTACCAATGGATCGTATCGCGGGTTGAAGTGTAGTGTAAACGCACAGTCGATGATGCGACCATTAATATGTGTACCAAAATCAATCTTAACAACATCATCATACTCCAGTACCGTATTATCACCTAAGGAAAATCAAATACAAAAATTTTATTATGTAAATAGTACGATTGGCTTAGCTGTTTAGACTTTAGGCTACAATAGAGTGGACAGTTGAGTTGAGTGTGAACAATTATTTATGAAAAAAGACAATTTATCAATTACAATACAGACTACAAAAACAATCTGATAAGCGCACAGTATGACGCCTTGACAATATGACAAAACAATGATCATTTAACACTATCTTTTATTGGAGATTATATTTGGTTGGATTGCTTATTAAAAAGAATGAACTTGAATTACTAAAGTACTCAATAAAATATATTCATACATTAGAGACAATTGTAATTTTCCTTTTTAATATATTTAAAAATGTATACCTGTATTAGGTGTATAATGTGCAGCACAATGATTACGGCTGCATCCAGTTGGGAATGCCAGCCCTGCTTTAAGTCCGTCTTCACCTATAAGACGCCTTGCTGTTGCTTCAAGCTCTTCACAGATTTGTATCATTGTCATTCCAGGTTTTATCCAATCCCGAATGTATTGTCTAGTCTAAACCAAACATTAATAATAAAGTATTTGAGCAGTGAATGATGAATGTATAAATATATTTTGTGTGTTATTGTTTGTGTGTGATTAAGATCACAGACATTGTGAAACACTGTTATGGACTTGGGCTAGATAGACTGATACTAACTACTACTGGTATTAAGAAAGCATGAGTTACAAGAAGAGAGTGAAAATTTAGTGATATTGCATTTAAATATATATGGGATTGTGATTATACAGTGAATACAGATCAATTTACCTGTCTGTGAGCTTCAGCGGCATGTCTGATTTCCTGGTAAATATCCTGGTGCATTCTATCTAGAGCTCTCTTCTCTTCACTTGTGAAGCGATCCTTCGCTGTTCTTTCATCAATACCTTCAGCTGGGCCATGATCCATAATTTGGCCCTCAGGAAAGTTACCTGTCAAAAATATACTTCAAAATTAAGAATTAATCTTTGATTTTTCCTATGTTAAAATACCCCCACATATAATTTGAAGAAATCTAATTAGAAATTAAAATTTGTGTTCTGATGAGATGGTGTGTTTCTAATTAAAGTAATTAACTAGATGAGATTGACATTAAAAATAACTAAAAGAAAAGGTACGTCAACATTGAAATACAACATTATGTTTTAACTCGAACATTACTTACGAGTAAACACATAAATTAATCAGTACTGACCGTCAGGATATAATTCCGCGATAGGAATTGTTGGCGGGTGTGTTTGTGTTTTTCCAGAGGTCTTTCCCTTATTTTTGTTTTTCTTCTTCTTCTTCTTTTCTTCAGTTTCAGCGGCATCTTCCACCGCATCATTTTGTACTTTGTCACGCGGTTCAGGTCCGTTTTCTACGGACGCTTCAGTTCCCGCTAAAATTTAGACAATGAAATATGACCAAGTTTACTTACATTCACAACCAATAGCGGGGGTTAGCGAGATATGTGATAAAAATTATAAATAAAAAGATACAAATAATCATAAATGCAATGAATGAAGTCTAACCTGTCTTCTTCTTCTTTTTTTTCTTTTTCTTCTTCTTTGAAGGATCTTTCGCTTCAATTTCCTCTGTATCATTTACATCATCTTCTTCCTCTTCGTCTTCTACGTGTTTTTCGTTTTCTTCAACTGTTTTAACTGCAGCCATTGTAATCTTTTATAACAAATTACATAAAAATAAAACTTGTGGTATCATGCATGCGTTAAACTTCACTTTAGGGTTGTCATTATCAGCATTAGCAAGAAGAATTTCTACCAATACGTCACAATATGTAAGTTAAATTCTACCGAAATTGGTAATCCATTCGTGGTTTTCGATTTTTGTATGTCATTGTTGTTTTCGGTTAACGTTGGTTAAGGCGGTACAAGTTTTTTTTTGGAAAGAAAAATTTGCTTCCCTTAACATTTTTAGGAATCATTAGGAACTGAAAAATGCATACAAATAAAAGCTTAAAAAGAAAATGGTAATAGAGGGTGTTTTGCCTGCTAGCACGAAACAATAGACTGAGATAACAAGCTACACACAAACTAGTTTCTTTCTGCCCTACTACTGATTGTTAGAAAAGTAAAAACTTTTATAACTTAAAACGCCAATGGAGTCTCTTTAGTCGTATATGTAGCACAAGAATACCCATGTACCATATTTACAATGTAAAAGATTAAAAGGATAAGCTTAAAGTAAAAATATTCGCATTCAACACAAATTAAGACGAACGTTAATCTTGTTACCTGATCTTGCTTAACTTTGTAACGTCGCAATTAGTGGTAAAACCCAGACTATTAGCATTTATATCGATTCTCCGATTACATTAACAGTAATTTAGGGCATAATGCGGAAGATCTGCTACAGTTCTAGTAGTATTTAAAATGGAACCCTTTTAACATATTACCTTGAGACAAAGTAAGTTTAAATAGAGCTCGATCCTTACACATATATACGTAGTCGAAATAAATTAAACTTTTTATCTTTATTATTTTATTCATTAATTTGGGTTACACAATTAAGTTGCTCAAAATAAAAACATCTAAAATAGTGATGAGTACATCTTTATTAACTTACTAGGTACATCTTTTTGCTTATTACAAGATTTTATTATCTGTTGTTTCACTTGTTTTCTAAGTTAAAGATTAAAATAAATTAATTGTTTACTATGTGGTTGTAATTTGCCGAAAACCATGTTTTATATGTCCTATTTACGTTTATACACCCATAATATACAATTATAAACAATTATTGGTTTTTTCACGCAAAATATTAACTAGGAATACCACTTGAAACGGTCGAACCTAGTGTTAGGACTAGTTGATAACAGTGTATGCAATATCTTTTTCTAGAAAAAATATAGCTTGAATAGACATAAGTGTGGTGTCAAGCGCGGGAAACGCGGCGTGAGCTCTTGAGCACGTGAACACTTGACGGTACACCGAACTACAATATATTGTTTATGATTATGTTATCTGTGCAGAAATATGGCAGGATGCTACAAAATATTATTCTTAAAATTGATTTATAAATATGCAAAAGAACATACAAAAATTGTTAAACTATTATCTGTTTTTATTTTTCCTAAATAATTTACTGCTGCTTATCTATTATGAGACAGGAGAGGGGACAAACTAAATACGGAAATTCCTTTTTCCTAACCATATCCGCCACCCCGTCAAATCCATTTCCCATTCATTTTTTTTAAATTCTCACAAAAGAAGAATGTTTAATTTTGCAATAAATATAAATCTTTAAATCACTCTTCGTGGATCTAAAATATGATTAATAATATCATATATAGAAAATTTGTACTGTTTTACTTTCAATTTTAAAAACTAAATATATTGCTACTCGTTATCCAACTGAACTAAAATAAAAGCTTTTAAGTTCAGAAAGGAATCACATTACTCTGCAGCACTCTTAGCCAATAAACACTTTATTCAGTTCCTTTGGAAATAAAAGAAATCAATATATGAAGACACAAAGTTCCCTTTGGATTTATATAGAGCTTTTTAAATTATTGAGCTTATTTAAAAACTAAAACCTTTTTATTTCGCCTATGTCCAACACAAGACGCCCGTCCATGGTGGATAATGATGAATGTAATTAAAAAAAGTTAATAATTCACACTGAACGTTACAAGTCACTAATTTTAAAAGCTTTCGTACAATTTGATTGTTTTCAAATTTGATTTCATCAAAATACGCTTAATACGTTTTAGTGAAAGGTTCTCTCGAGGGAATGTAATCTACTTTACCTGTTAGGAATCTTTTATTGGAAGTAATTTGAATGAAATATTATTTTTGGATAACCACATTTTCATTTGAAAAGGAAAACGAGATAATAACCAAATATGATGTTAACTCGTACTTTTTATTTCGTGTGAAATGAAAAGAATTTATTGATAATTAATTATATCAATTATTATACTATAAGAATATAGAAAACACGCTGACCCAGTGCCGTTTGAATGCAGTTAACACACATCTTTGAATTTCTTAGCATCACGATGTTTTCCTTAACCGTAAGAATCATGTACAAATAAAAGAAAATCGATAAATAAGTTTGTTATAAAATAGGCGGTAGAAAAAATTGATTGTTAATTACATATGTATGTAATTTTGAACAAAATAATTGTTCATAAAGATGTCATAAGGACTACGCATAAATAAACACAATTTTTACCTCGAAATGTTGTGAATATTTAGGGCTTTTTAATAATGTAAGTGTACTTTGCTTTTATGATGAAGGTTTGACATTAAGCGGTGTTTAGGCCATTGGGATGAGTGGATGTTGACAGCAATTAATATTATTGGATTAAAAAATTGTAGTCTGTATGTATTTACCATTATTTACATTAATGAATTATGAACACTCAGGTCTAGTAAAATAAGTGGTCGACGAAAGGCTGTCTAGACAAGGAAAACGAACCATTGCCTATTTTTGTAAGTAGACTTACTTTACTTTGTTACTTTCCATTTTAAGCTGTGTTAGCTATATATCTAGGTTATGTTTGCTTTTGATTAGTACGCCTTGTCTATTTAGACGACACCTCATTAATTTACGAACAACTTTTTCGACGTCATTTGTTAACGTTGAATAACGGATTGGTCAATTGACGTAACTAATTATTGAGTATAGTCTAGATCAATTTATTCGGATATCCTTATTTTCTTCATTGTTTGTTTATGACACAATCCTCAATTAATAGTAGATCGTTTACTTAGTTTATTTCTCAAATTTTTAAGTCATTAGTAAGTTTTATGATTACAAAGAAATGCAGTGCGGTCCTCTTTGAGCGAATGCTTTGCGGAACCTATTTCCTTTAGAAGGAAATTCTTCATGATCGACCTGAGTTTGTAACGTGTATTTGAAATTGACAATTTTTTGCTTAATTGTTTTGCAGATTATTAAAAAGTAACAATGAATTACTTAGCTTTTTTAGTATATACTATACTAATTTAATATTAGGCGTCTTTATTTTTTATAATCTTTATTTAGAAGTTGACGATCGAAAAAATAAAAATCCCATTGAATATTGTCCTGAAGTACGAGTCTTTATCAAAATTTAATCAGAGATCGCGTGATAACCGACACACCAATATAAGTTTCGGTATTGTTTACCAACTTGTTAGCTGTATTTAGCAATGTATGCAGTATGGTTTGCACGTTGAGCGTTTTCCGTCTATCCGTCTTCATAATTTTGACCTGTCACCTGTCAGTCGCTTCTTGTCAGTTCCTCAAGTTGCACGTTTAAACTATCGTGGCATCTTGATGCGTTGTGCTATAAACTTAATTGCGAAGTGTGTGTATTGACTAAAATCTTTGCTTAAAATTAAGGTGTCACATTAATTACATGATTGAAAATATTCAGTGAACGAATTAAATTTAAAATGTTGTGCTAAATGTGAATCTTATAAAATTATGTTTCTGTTCATGTAAAATAAACATATCAATCAAGTGACATGATTTGGTGTAGTGAAAACTGAAATATTTTAAAACATATCTACGCGAATGGTAGGTGCAGTCCTTTTATGTTTAA